ACTGCCCAGTACTCCTAACTAACACCCACATTCAGGGGTTCTGGGTCGGTCTTATGTTGGCTTTCCAGCTATCAGACTGGGGTCCATGAGCTCCCCCTTTTCAGGTTAGCTGATTCTGTGTGATTCCAATAATCTACCTTTATATCCTATCAGGTGGCTTTTCTGATATGAGACAGAGATTTTGGATTTTACTTTAACAAGAATGCTTGGATTTAGAGACGGAGAGAGCCACACTCCATCTCCAAAGCCAGTTTCCATTTTTAATTGGACTGGGACTACAAGAAAAAAGACCATTTGTATTGTATGTCTGTAGAGAAAAGCAAAAACAAACACATGAAATTTTATCCTATTGGAGATATGATATGCTAATAGGCCAAATTACTGTTTCTCTTGTGACATTGTTTCTGGATGATTTGTTCCTTTCCTTCTGGTGTTTCATTTGTCCAGTGGTCTTCAGCTTCCTTAGCTGGATGCCTTCATTCTCCTGAAACGACAAAAACTAAACCCTGCCCCAACCCTAACTTTGGGAATGTTCCCTTATGGAAAGTATTCTGATCAAATAAAAAGCATTTTGTAGTTGTAAAGGTAGTTCAGAATGAATAGCCACAGTGTTTTATTAACTATCACCTCTTCTAATCAAGATGTTCAAATCTAATCTTTATCAATTTTGATGGTATCCATAGCTTTTCTTCTCCTGTGGAAGCAAAAGCGTAACCTCTTCCCCAAAATAACACATATCCTGATTTCCAGTCCGAGGTTAGCAAATATTTAAAGTATACAGACTGATTTAATTCCATACTTTTTTCTACTATCCAATGTCTCTTCACAGTTGTCATTCTTTTCTCATGAGCACTTAGAAAATTCAAAGTTAATAAAGCATTATGTAACCTATTTCTGGGAGTCTTTATTACCCCTTTCTGTTTATTTAGCATATACTTTAGAGTTCAATTTGATCTTTTTTATAACCGCTTGCCCTGTAGGATGGTGTGGTATACCTGTAATGTGCTTTATATTGTAATAAGCAGTGATCTGTCCTGTGAATTGCTCCCATAGGGCTTATTCTCCCATACTGCTAATGTCTTCAGGGACTATAGTTCCTGCCTCTGCACCATAATTTGCTTCAGCCATTCTCTGCTATTGGACAGTCACTTACTTCCAGTTTTTCCTAATATAAATGGGCTATAGTAGTCATCAGCTCCTTGGGATAAAAATTCATAAACAGAATAGAAAGACTAAAGGATTTAACCGTCTTCAGAGTGTTGACATGGATTGCCAGTGTTTGGATTTTACGTCCCACCAGTTCACTGGACAGCTCCTCAGTTCCTGTGTATGCTCACGACTGTGTGTGCGTGGAGGTCAGGTAACAACTTGTCAGAGTCATTCTTCTCCTTCAACTCTGTGCGTCCCAGGTATCATATGCAAGTGACCAGGTTGGTGGCAAAGCCCCTTTATCCACTGAGCCATTTCACAGGCCCATCTGGCCCATCTCACACAACTGGGAACTCCTCCACAGGGCACCCTTCATGAGGGATGGCACAGTAAGGAGGCTGGGGTATCCCACCATTATCAGAACAGCCTGGTAGGCTAACCACAACTTATAAATGAAGCTAGAGAACAAAGTTGACTAAGTCCTGTCTTCATAGGTGTTGTTCTGCCATAACAAGATACAGATTGAGAGTTTAAAGAAAACAACTAAAGTAGACATAGTGACATATACCTATAATCTCAGCATTCAGGTGGCCGAGGGAGGAGGCTCCAAGGCCATCTCGATTCATTAAAAAAAAAAAAAAAAAAAAACAAAAAAAAACCAAGAAATTGTCTTCACAGCCAGGGCCACATTCTTCTATATTATACATAACACTAATTAGATTGCATTTTTAAAAAATATATTCTTGAAGTGACAAAAGCTGTAAAATTTCTGGAGAGGCAAGTGAGCATGATGAAGGCTGACAGGCAAAAATCACTGGAAATAAGGTTTAGTTAGGAGCCAAGTCCAAGCTAATGTCTGGAAAGCATTTAAAAGGGCCACACACCCTCCTGACTGAATCTCCTCTCTCATAAGATAAATACATGTCAATAAAAGATTATTTAATGGAGCTGGAGAAATGGTTAAGAGCACTAGCTGCTCTTCCGGAGAACCCGGACACCCACATGGCAGCTCACAACAATCTGTAACTCCAGGACTAAGTAATCCAATGCCCTCTTCTGGCCTCTAGAGTCACCAGGTAGGTGTGTGGTAAATAGACATACAGGCAGGCAAAACAGGTGTACACGTAAAATAAAAGGTAAATTAAATTTAAAGTTCACATACACACAAAAGAATCAAAACTCAGTCTAGTTTGTTTGTTTTTTGAGACAGAGTTTCTCTGTAGCTTTGGAGCCTGTCCTGGAACTCACTCTATAGACCAGGTTGGCCTCAAACTCACAGAGATCTGCCTGCCTTTGCCTCCCAAGTGCTGGGATTAAAAGTATGTGCCACTACAGCCCAGCTAGAATATCCTTGAAAGAAAGTGTAAGCTGTTCTCAAGGGGATATGATGTTCTTTTGGGGAGTGGGTGTCTCATTCAGGGAAGAAGATCTGGTTACAACCCCGGAGACATCAATGGAGATTAAGATAGAGAATATTTTAAAAGCCCCAGAGAGGAAACTCACAGCCAGACCTTCAAGGATGTCCCAGGAGCTTCTCTTTCCTCTCTGTACCTTGGCCCCAGAATATTGCTGGGAATGGCTGGGCCAGGCTTCCCTGGAGACTTGTCAGCACACCAGCAACTCCAGGGATAACACTGATGCATACACTCTGGTGTGCTGGCTAGTTTTTGTGTTGATTTGACGCAGGTATGATTAACTAAAGGAAGAATCTCAGTCAGGAAATGTCTCCATAGGATTGGCCTGTGGGCAAGTCTGTGGGGGCATTTTCCTGATTCATCAATTGATGAGAGAGGGCCCATGCCACTGTAGTGAGTACCCAGGACACACTTCTTCCAGGTTGAACCCAGGTCGTCAGGTTTGGCTCAATGTATGCTCAGAGTTTTGTGTCCTAGTGATCAAGTTGGCTGTATTAACTTTCACAGATCCACAGATCCTAAATGACATTCTGCCCTCTGTGCATGTGTCACACCGTCTCAGGCTACTCCACTTCCTCAAGCCAAATAGCCCTGATGTATGAACGTGGACATTTGTTTAGCCTTTGTCAGGTGTGTTGATTAGGGTTTCTACTGCTGTGATAAACACTGATCAAAAGCAGCTTGCATGCCTTTTGGTGTCCAAGTTCTAGCTTCTCTCTGTCTCTGTCTTTCTGTTTCTATCACTGTCTCTGTTTCATTTTCAATAAAGCATCTGAGTTTTGAGTTTTATCTGGCTATTGCTGACCTTCAACTTGATCATTCTCTTTTGTGGAGCACTGCTTATACACTGGTAGGCGTTAGCAACACCTCGAGGCCTCAAGCAACAATGTCTACCTATGGGAGTTAAAGTATGTCTGCAGACACATCAGTTGTCCTTGGAGATCTTGTCACCCCATTTAGGACCACAATTTAGCTGGATTTCTGTGTTAGTAGTGATTCCAGATACCTCTATCTGAACAGTTGCTGGGGGAAACCTATGGTGGAGCATTTACCAGAGAAGACTGCTCGGACGGGTTTAAGCCAATAGAAAGTCTTTATTAACCCACGAGCAAGTACACTGAGTGAGATCCCATCAAACCTTTCTCAGGGTGAGCTTTTAATCACACACACACACACACACACACACACACACACACACACACACACACACAAGCATGTTCTGGGTTGGTGAAGGCGTGGTGATGATGAGTAGGCAGGTGAGCAGTCATTCTCCAGAGAGTTGAGCTTTTGTCCTGACTAACTGTGGTCCAGCTGAGTCCCTTGACCTAGGCTTACATTGGTAGCTTCTCTCTACCTCGTCCCAGGATGGTTGTCAAGACCAACACAGAGTGCTGTTTCCAAAAAGACCCATTCCCACTTCATCTGCTGTACTGTTCTTCAGAGCACCAGAACCAAACCCATGGCTTTGCTCATGCTAGGAGAGCACTCTACACACTGAGCTACAGACTTGGACCAAAGTTAATTTTTTTAATAACGTACATTCTACTATGATACATAGCAGAACTGTAAGGAAACCCAGTTACTTAAACACAGTTCCCTGAAGGAATTTGTAAATTCATATTGAAATGTGTTTACATTGCTTGACCAACAGCTTGCATTTCTAGGATTTAATCACTAGATGTGAGCAGTAGATCAGTCATTGTATATCAACATAATGGAATACTGTGCATCTACAAAAAAAAAAAAAAAAAAAAAAAAAAAACAGTCGACTTGCATGTACTGATAGGGAACCATGCCCAAGATGTATTATTAAGTAGAATTGCATATCATTATAAAATAAAAAGATATTAAGAAAAAAGGAGCAAATTGCCAAAATACTTTGTATAGTAACAATATCAAGTGATATCTCTGTTTCCTGGTCAGGATTTTGTAAATATAGAATGGGAGGGAAAGAGGGAAAGAGGGAGGGGGGAAGGGAGGGAGAGGGAACTGGGATCGATTTGTAAAATAAAAAGTCTGATTGCTTACAATAAACTTGTCTCAGTCTCAGTCTTGGTGAGACCTCTCCAAAAAAAAAAAAAAAAAAAAAAAAACCAACAGCTTAGAGACTCACAGACTCACCTTGCCTAGTTCCTTGCCATCCTTCAATGGTGGACTATCGTTCCCAGAACTATGATCCTAAACAACCCTACCTCCTCCTAAGTTACTTCTCTGAGATATTCTGTCACAGCAAAGAGAAAGGTGATGACTATCCATACTTATCCAGAAACAGGCTAGTCACTCATCACCCAGGCCTCCTTCAGGGAAGTTAAGCAGGCAGCAGAGCCCTTGGAAGTGGTACTCACCCCCCCCCCATGTTTTAACCAGGCTGATGCTGGGGTATCTTCTGCTGAAGTAACTTATTCTGTGGTTCTGTGGTGTCCCCTCCCCCCACAGGATGGATGACATTCAGCTCTGCAAAGACATCATGGACCTGAAGCAGGAGCTGCAGAACTTGGTCGCCATCCCAGGTAATGTGAGTAATTGCATCCTCTCTTAGCCACTGCCCACAGCTTCTATCTGCCCTCTGTACCCATGGGATTGGGAGGAATGGGGTTGCCTCTTTTCCTAATGAGTCAGTCTTGCAATGGAGGCTCCGTGATTTAAACACAAGTTCCTACAGGGTATAGGGACACATACCTATAATCTAAGCTTGTGGAAGGCAGGAGGCAGGAAGATGGTCCACACATTTGAAACCAGTCTGGGCTACTGACTAAGACGGTATCTCAAAATAACCAGGTAAGCACAAGTTTATGTCAAGCAGGGCCAACTTTGACCACAGGCAAGCCACTTTATTTTTCCAAGACTCAATTTTTCCTTACTTGAAAATGGAATAGTAATATTTGTAACATCAATCTCATGAGGGGCTGAGAGGAATGGCTCAGTGGCAGAATACTTTCCTAATATGTGCAGGGACCTGAACCCCAGTACTGCAAAAGTACAATAAAGCTGCCCGTGTCTAATTATCCCTGAGGTAAATGTACACTTAGGGCCAAGCATTACTTTGGCTCAGATCCATTGTTGCCATTTTTATCATGTGTGGAAACAGGGAGAGTAAAGAAGTCATAGGCTTAATGTTGGGGTTAAATCTAATCTATCAGTTATCAATGGTTCAGATTATCTGATCCTTTTCTCTCTAAATGACTTACCTCCCCAGACACTCTGGATTAGGTGCCCCATGGGCCTTGCGCTTATCAAAGGAGTAGGTAGTCAAGTGCCTGTTGTATTAGTGAGGGTTCTCTGGAGGAGCCAAACCCATAGGATGAATAGATATTTGGGGGATTTATTAAGTTGACTTACATGATGTTCTCTGACCTTTGCACACTGGAGAGACTAAGAGCCTAGTAACTGCTCAGTTTGAGGCTGGAAGCTTCAGTAGTCCCAATCTGTTCCTGAGGGCCTGGAAGAGTCCTATAGAGCCACTGGGTATCACTTAACATTGGAAGGTCAAGGAATCTGTTTGTGAGATCTTCAGAGGATCATAACAGCCACAGAATCAGCGAGAGGTAGATGATTTCATAAATGTTAATAAATAATATGCAAAAACCAAAGCTTTCTTTCTTGCATCTTTTATCTGTGCTGTAATCAGAAAGCGCCAACCACATTTGATGCCGGGCTTCCCACTGGAAATAAACTGATTAAGAAAATCCCTCATGGTTGTTCATAGTAGCTCTCCTTTCAGTTGATTCTAAGGCTAACCATCACACTTGGGCCATGCATGATAGGTGTGCGAGTCTGACAGTACTCAGTACTCAGGGAGGGTTATCAAAAGACACTGCTTCATTTTGAAGAACTTGATCTTGGCAAGAGTTTTACTTGATTTATTTCTCCTAAAACTTGGGGCTGTTTGGAATGGCTGGTGCATATAACAACTGTTTACTGAATGTTTGTGCATGTCCCATCTGAGAGGCAATCTGGAAGTTATTTGATGTATACAAGAGGATATTCAGGGTCATGTATAAATACTGATAATGTCAGGACTTGGAAAATCTGATGCATAAGGATCATGAGTATGAGGTCTGCCTATTTCAAAGCAACCAACCAAGCAACCTAAAAGAACTCTATGACAGTCTGTGTTGAAACACTGGATGCACAAAATGGTCAAGGAATGCACCCAAAGTCACACACCTGGGCAGAGAGGGCCAGTAGACCATCACAGCAACCCTATCTGTTCCGGACAGTAAAGGTCACAGGAAAGACAGGAGCTATGAGCCAGGGAAACCGGACAGGGAGCCATAGCATTGTTTAGGGAGGATAGACAGTAGCCCTAGCTGAGGAAAGGAGAAGCAAGCATAGAGGGGCCTTAAGGACACAGGTGTGTGGCACAATAGGTGAGGTGGACTTCTTATTACTAAGTGAATGAAAATAAGGACAGACTGCTTCGAGATATGGTTGAGGAGATGGCTTTCTTGTAGATATGAGGGAGAGACCATCCAGAGGCATCTGCAAGAGTCCAGACTGAGCATGGCCAGCAGCATAGATCAGGCCACCAGAGGAAGGAGACAGAAGAAGAGCAAGAGAGGAAGAGAAGAGAGAGGAGAGAGCCCAAGAGGACCAAGAGAGCAGGCATGGCCAAAATGGCCAAGTTATATAGAAAAGGAGAAGCTGGGGTAAGGGGAGCAAAGCCAGGCCCATGGGCTGGAGATTTTAGCGTAGAAAAAAGTGCTGGGAGGAGCCAAGACTCTGTAACAGGTACTTGTGATGCTGAGAACCTGGCAGCCAGTGTCTGCTTTGGTGTGAATAGACACCTCAGTTGGCCATTTGTCCTGAGTGTCTTTGGGACACAGCAGTGAGCAGGCACATGGTGCCAGCAGGTGGGTGGGAAGTGGTGATAAGGAGGGTGTGATGGGTGGATGAAGCACTGGCCACAGCCGGGAGACTTGGTTCAGTGCTGATTGGTGAGCTACACAGAGTAAGTCTGAGGAGGTGGCTCCTCCCTTGGTTAGCTGGAAAGGCTGTGTCTAAGCATCCAGGAGAGGCTGAGGAGTGCTCAGCTAAAGGAGAGCTAGAAAATGTAGGGGAGCAATCCTGGGCCCAATGTCTGTCAGAAGCCCAGCACCAGGTGGCTCTAGCTAAGGTGTGAAAATATCAGAGTGCTGTGGATGGGAAAGAAACTGTCCCCCAGATTCCTTGTGAGAGTCCATAGGTGCTGGCACTCAGAGAATAAGGCAGAGAGGGCTGTGTAGTACATTGTATGGTCTAGAGACTCAACCTGAGCCCTGTTGAATAGAAGCCATACACCATATCACCAATGGGTGATAGTTGGTGACCATCCATGCTTGCTACATGGAGGTTGGGCATGGCTTTTGGGTCACCAAGAAAGCTTTACCTTGCCTTCCCTTTCCAGGTGGCTCAGAGTGCCTTGTGTGTTCTACATCCACAGATCCAGCCATTTGTGGACTGAAAGAACCCCTGGAAAAATAATATCCCACTGAAAGTTGAACAAACCTTTTCTTGTCAAGATCCATAGAGGATACACTTAACAATTGTTTACTAAATGTTTGTGTTATGTTCCATGTTACAGGCAACCTGGAAGTGATTTAACATTTACAAGTATTCAGGGTCATATATAAATACTGTCATATGTGTGCACATCTGTGTGTCAGATCTCCAGAAACATTGCCCATCTCCATTGAGACAAGGTCTCTCAGTTCCCTATTATACTAGACTTGATAGTGATCAAAACCCAAGAATATGCTTGTCTCCATAGTGGATGCCACTATGCCTGGCTTTTTCTGCAGGTCCTAGGAATTGAACTCAGGTCCTTGGGCTTGAAAGGGAAGTATCTTACCAACTGAGCCATCTCCTTTGCACAAATCATAACTAAATACATGTCCACAGGCCAACCTGTCTCTAAAAACAACAACACCCCCCACCCTACCCCTGCCAAAGCAAACAAATCAAAAATGTTAGACAGAACCCGAGGAACAACACCTGTCCTAGTTAGGATCACTAATCCTACGATGAAAACACTGGGGAGCAAAGAAGCTTGGGGAGTAAAGAGTTTATTTGGCTGACACTTCCATATCATTGTTCATCATCAAAGGAGGCCAAAACAGGAACTCAAATAGGAAAGGATCCTGGAGGTAGGAGCTGACGCAGAGGCCGTGAAGGGGTGCCGCTTACTGGCTGCTCCTCCTGGCTTGCTTAGCCTGCTTTCTTATAGAACCCAGGACCACCAGCCCAGGGATAGTACACCCACAATGGGCTGGGCCCTCCCCTATCAATCACTAATTAAGAAAATGCCCTTTAGGCTTGCCTACAGCCTGATCTTATAGAGCCATTTTCTTAACTGAGGTTCTGTTAGATGACTTTAGTTTTCGTCAAGTTGGCACAAAACTACCTAGCACAACACCCAGTGTTAACCATTAGCCTCCACTTGCACGTACACACATGAGTGAGCACATAGACACATATGTGTGCCCATTCATACACATAAACAAACACACAAGAGGTCATGCTTCCTCTACAAGTTCACCCAATAATGAAGTAGTGGAGCCACGTATCCAATACTGTCCCCTCCGACTCAGAGTTTCCACTTATACTCACTGCCTGTTTTGTTCTGTCTTGAGACAGGGTCTCACATGTTATCCCAGGCTAGCTTCAAACTCACCACGCTCCTGCTTCAACTTCCTGAGTGTTGGGATTGCAGACAAACACCATCATAGATGCCCCACTGTTTTCTTCCTCCCAGAAAAAGAAAAAACCAAGCTGCAGAAGCAGAGAGAAGATGAGTTAATCCAGAAGATCCACAGATTGGTGCAGAAGAGAGACTTCCTGGTGGATGATGCCGAGGTGGAACGGTTAAGGTGGGCCCTAGGCCACCAGATCTCAAGCCTCTACTCCCTGCACCACCCCACAGCCTTGTCTGCTCCTGAGACATGTGGCCTTGCCTAACAGGCATGGCCTCTGCCAATGCTCCCCAGACACCAAACACTTCTGAGAACCTATTTCATATTCATGAAAAACACCATTTCATCCTCAAAGTCTTGCAAAGTCCTGTGTATCTCAGCTGACTGTAATATAGGCAGGTGGGCAGGATGGAATTCCATCCTGTTATAGAGAACACATGATCTAGATGCATCAAAAGTTTTGTCAATGTGTACAAACATCCTGCCCCCATGACAGTGTCTCCCAAGTTCCCAACTTTGTGCTTTGCTATCCTTTTCTTCCCCTCATGCTGTTTCCTATCCATTTGTACCTGCCAGTCTTGGCCTGGAGCCCCCCTGGCTCTGGAGCTGTACAACTGACTAGAGGCCCCTAAGGGTGCCAGATCTGGGTGCAGCTGTGTGTCTTGTCGTCCCAGGACTAAGCCTTTGGAGTCTCTCTCCATGTAGGAGGCAATCCCTCTTCCTCATCTGTGTCCTCTGAGAACTTTGCCAGAGTCACCTGGGCTACACAAAACCCATTTTATTCTTGAAAGCAAAGGTGACTTTCTCTCTGAGGTGGGACCTTGTGGGAGTCAAGGTGTCTAGACTAGCTTGAAGGCACAGAGATGCTTCTCGGTTCACTGCATCCCAACAAGGTGCCTGGGTACTAAAGTGTCCTTATTTCTGCCTTGAGGTCTCCCTCTAACTCTGTACCAGCACTTTACAGAGGTGTGTGTCTTCATTAAAGAGAGGATTCACCTAACAGAATGACATGCCATTATGGACACGCCACTCACAAAGCTCAACATGTCTCCTCACGCTTAGCCTCTTTCTGGGTATCACTGGTATTTTCCTTTCTGACTTCATTTCCCTCTTCTTTTTTCCATATCCATCTTCCCAGGGAACAGGAAGAAGACAAGGAAATGGCCGATTTCTTGAGGATCAAGTTAAAACCTCTAGACAAAGTAACCAAATCTTCAGCCAGTGAGTGCCTGCATGAGAGAAGATTTCAAACAAGCGAGGGTAGCGGGAATAAGACACACTTTATAAATACAGCTTGAGCATGGGATGGCAGCAGGCACGGCCAGGCTCATGGGCCTGCAGCTCATGGGCCTCCCAGGTCCATGCCCTGATGTACTCCATGCTTGCTTTATTGTTTTGCTACAATTGTCTTGAAACTCTTAGTAATTAATGTTGGTTCCAGGAGCCTTGTGCCGTCATTTTCCCCAAGTGTAAGCAGCTGGTCTGCAGCAGCTGTCCTTCCATAGTCCCAATTTGATGTGTTTCATTAAAAGAATAGGATGACTACTATGGCCTTCAGGAGCTCCAGCTGCTACTAGGGCTGGAATCTGAAAGAGCCAGGAACACAATTCTCAAAATAATTATTAGATACCAGAAATAAAGCAAACGATACCCACCCTACAAACCACAACTCCAGAGAAGCTAGAAGTCTCTTCCAGAAGCAGATGGAAGCAGATGCAGAAATTCACAAACAAGCAATGGGCCAAGCTCCTGGAGTATAATAGAAGTGAGGGAGGAGCAAAAATATGAACAAAGGAGTCAAGATCATAATGGGGAAACCCACAGCTGACCTGAGCTGATCACTGACTCGAGTCTGACAAATGGAGAACCTGCATAAGATCTAACTAGACTCCCTTAATGTAGGTGACAATGGTGTGACCGTGACAATATATGAGGCCACTGGCAGTGGGTCCAAGATCTAACAATAATGTACAAACTGACTTAGTGGAGCCCATTCTATACGGAGAGACACCTTGTCCAGCCTAGACACAGGAGTGTGGGGAAGGAGAGGAGCCTTGGTCCTGCCTCAACTAGATGATGGGACAGACTTAGTTGACTTTGTATGGAAGGTCTTACCCTCTCCCTGGAGTAGTTGGGAGGAGGGGGCAGTGGAGGGAGTGGGAGGAAAGGAAGGAGGAGGGACTGGGGTTGGAATGTAAAAATAAATTAAAAAATAATTATTATTAGCTTTATGAGATACCCAGCACAGAAAGAGTTTTGCATGAGCCAAGTTTGGAAATACCTCATGTCCATCGGTTGTTAAAGTGATTAGAGTTCCTGTTGCCAATGTATTCTCTTTTTTGATGTAATGTTTGGCAGATATTTCTAACTGCTGCATCAGTGAGGTCTCTTTTAGTTGTAAGAAGTGGATATACTGCATGGCAAAGTTGGTGCATGCCTTTAATACTGGCACTCGAGAGGCAGAGGCAGGTGGATCTCTATGAGTATGAGGCCAGCCTGGGCAGCCAGAGCTGTTATACAGTGAAACCCTATGTCAAAAAAAAAAAAAAAAACAAAACAAAAAAAAACAAAAACAAAAAACAAAAACCAAAGCCAAACCAAAAACAAAGAAGTGGATATCCTTGGATATTGGTGGTGTACATCTTTAATCCCAGTACTCAGGAGGCAGAGACAAGTGGATCCATATGAGTTTGAGGCCAGCTAAGGCTACATAGTGAGACTCTATTTCTAAATAAATGAATAAATAACATACCATAGTAAGTTTAGACTAAGCAGAAAATGGGGAGTTGTTTGAGAAAGAACAAGAAATTGGCTCAGGGACACAACCCTGTTAGACCTTGCACTTGTGCACTTGCTCCATTGCCCCTCCGTACTGGGCCCGCAAGAACAACTTGAAGTAGTAAAGGTTTATTTGAGCTCCTGGGTTCAGAGGTGTCAGTCTACCATGATTGAGGGAGCATGATGGAGAACAGTTGACATGGTGTCTAGGGATCAGAGAAAAAGGATCACAAGAAGAGGCCAGAACAAAATGTGTCCCCCAAAGGCAAGCCCCAGTAACCCAGTTCCTCCAAGCCAGCCTTGCTCTACCTTCTCCCACCTCTAGCAATGCTATCATATTAAGAATCGTTCAAGGGATGGCTCCGTTCACTAGGCCAGAGGCTACCATTCTAACCTCTGGAATAGCACCACTGGCACACCCAGAGGTATGCTTTACTAAATAGACAATTCTCAATCCAATCAATTTGAAAATTCCTATGAACCATCATACTCTAATAAACAGGCTTTCTCTATGGGCCAGAACTCTAGACTCACAGCTTAGCAACTCTAAGGTAATGCCAGACTCTTTCTTGTACATTAGTCAGGGTTCTCTAAAGGAACAGAACTTGTAGAATGAATCTCTCTCTCCCCCACCTCTCACTCCCCACCTATCTATATCTATCTATCGTTATCATATATATATGATATATAGATATCATTATATACATATATATATTACTGTATTCTATCTATACTCCTACATAGAAGGTACATGTCTCCCCTCTCACCATGCAATTAGGTGGAATCTTTTTATTTGATATTTTATAGAAGAGATAGGCCTGTGAGGAAACTGACTTTAGCCAGGGCTGTGTGCCTTGTGCTTTTAGTGACCAATACAAGGGAGTCCTTCTGTATTCCCCACATTTGACAACTGTGTTTTCATAGGTCATTAGCAAGTGGCAGGAAAGCTGGACTTAAAGAATTTCTCAAAGGGGGCGCACACATCTCATACACACAGCCTGCCATAGATAACAACCTCCAGGAAGATTATCTCACAGTAAATCTTAAAACCCGTGAAAAATTGAATCACCATGATAGGAGTCAGTGGATACAACAAAGAAAATGACTTCCCAAGAACCCGATAGAAGAAGCCATCGGGATGTCTTAATGGACAAAGACACTTGCTACACAAGACTGGCAACTTGAGTTTGATCTTCAGCTCCCATGTAAATGTGAAGAGAGAACCTCACACTGTTGTCCTCTGCCCTCCACACACAAGTGGCCCCCCACACATAAATCATAAGGTTTTTAAAAACAGATCTTAAAAGAGACTATCTTGAAGAGACAGTGCACTAAGCATATTGAAATTATTAAAGAGACAAGAAACAAAACCCAAGATGAAAAACACTAGCCTCATTAATAAAACTGCCACAGAAGAAAAACATTAAAAGGAAGGGTTGAATGAGGAGACAGTTGGAGGCATGCTTCATACAATGGAAGGCAGTCCTGGGGAAATTACTCAGGGTGCAGAACAAATAAGAGGCAGTAGAAATACAGCAGCTTCTGCAAAGAGAGAAGACGGAATGACAAGGTCTAACTTACATTTAAATAGGTGCTCTGAGGTGGACAAAATGGAGGATGACAAGTAGAGCACTCTGAAAAGATAACATGAGCATTTTCCTAAATTGAAAGGTGTGAACCTTGAACAAACCTTCCCATTTATCCTGCACTAGGAGACAGTCTAAAGCTGCACTTGGAACCTGAGGGATGAATGACAAAAAGGTCCCTGAGTGATGAGCATAAAATGCAGAGCCATTCTCCACACTGCCAGGACAAGGCCTAGTCCCAGGTTGGGTTTGGGTTGGACTGCCAGTGGTCAGGGCTTGCTTCTCCTTACCTTCTCTCTCTCCCTCTGCTTCTCTATTGCTGCAGGCTCCCGGGCAGAGAAGAAGGCAGATCCCCCACCTAGCAAGCCAACTGTGGCCAAGACAGGCCTGGCACTCATCAAGGATTGCTGTGGGGCCACCCAGTGCAACATCATGTAGCCCCTGTGTGGGGTGCCCCAGAACCATGGGGACCATCCCTCCTACCCTCTTGTCCTCATAGCCCCCATTTTACAGGGGTCTAAGAGATTTCCAAGGCAGAAGGGGTTGAAGGCAAGCCCATGACTGCTATCACGGGCCATGGGCATGGCAGGTGGGCCCAGCCACTGCTGTGCAGAGTGTAGCAATAGAGAGCCCCTCACTGTCGCATGGCCCTCCCCAGAGCATGCCCAACCCAGGAGTCTGTCTCATTGTTTATCTAACTACCAAGAGAGCCCCTCCCTTAAAACAGTATGCCCTCACTAACCTACCATGTGAATGAACCGGGAAAGGGGCATGACCCCCAGGTGTGTATAGCTGTGAGTTTCAATAATCTAGCACCATGTTGGACCCAATCCCCATCCACCCTCCCAGCTTTGCTGTCAGATACAAGTCCTGTTCCCTGTTTGTCCTCTCCCAGGGACTGGAGCCTGGAGGCTCCCACACAGCCCACACTTCTCTTAGGCTCCATTATAATCACTTTCCTAGAGATACTGGCCTGTCCGTGAAGGCTGAGCTTGTGTGTGGTGTTGTTAGATTTATGCCTCCTGCTCCCTCCCATCCTGTATCTGGGCACAGTTCACATCAGGTGTGTATCTGCCAGGTGTGTATCTTTCTCGATTTGCCATGTCTAGCCCACAGTGGAGCAGGGAAGGGATGGGTGGACAAGAACAGATCCAGCACTTGGACCAGGTTGTGGAGAGCTACAGGTGCCAATGTCAAAGCCAAGTGGATGAGAAAGGGATGCAGAACAGATGCCGAGCCACATTCTCTTCTCCCACTGAGGGCTGCTGCAGACAATACCAGTGAGAGGTCACCCTGCTGGCCCAGCACACATCTCTGTAAAGAACAACTGAGAGGCAAGAGAGGAAGCCTGACCTAACCATGTCCCATCTGTCTGGTGGTGTGTTTGAACCAGCCCCACAACTTCTCCTGTGTAACTTGATGTACATTTGCCATGGCCAGCCTGGCACAGCCCGTGTGACCTCTCTGTGCATATATGTGTGTTGTGATTGGCCTAAGTAGTCAGCACCAGTCAAGATTTGCTGATGTGCAAACTATCCATCAGAGAAAATAAAAATGAAAAACACACACACAGCATTTCACAAGTTCTTGCTTCTTCCTTGATTATAGACATAACTCGAGTACATAGGAAATAATTTAAAAAGTACAGAAAGTATATTTAAAAAAGTTAACTACTCACAACTTTCCCGGTGACCTCTGATATGTTGACATATTTCCTTGAAGTCTTCTCATACATTTCTTTTGTCATGATTAGCATCATATTGAAACATTTTATATCCAGCTTTCTTTTCAGTTGTATATTATACCACATAGGCTTCTCCTGAATCATTAAAAGCTCTTTGTTAACCTTAAACATTCCTCACAAATATTTATGACTGATGAGTACTCCATCTCATGGACATGCTGTTATCTCTCTTACCAGTGCCTCACTACTGGACATCTAGACTGTCCCTACCTACATCTAGAATGTTCCACATTATAATAAGGTTACAGTCAACAGCCTGAGGAGATAAACACTCACCTGAATTTCTGTCTTTTTTTTCTAAAATAAAGTAGAAGCAACATTATTGGACAATTAATAGAAGCATTTTCAAAATACTTGTGACTTTGGCTTGGGATGCAACTTAGATAAAGTGCTTGCCTCAAATGCACAAAGCCCAGCTTCTATCCCAACTGGTGTGTAAACAGTGTCAGACTGCATGTCTGACTCATAGCACTGCGAGAAAGAGAAGAAGTGGAGGTGGGAGGTTCAGAAGTTCAAGGCCATCCTTGGCTAAATAAGACCTCCATCTAAAAAAAAAAAAAAACAAAAACAAAAAACAAAAAACAGCAAAACAAAACAGTGAATTTGGATGGATGTGTAGTGCCATCACAATGGCTTTGAAACTGACATCAGTTCTGTGAGACCTGGCATATTGGTAGAGTGGATAGTGTGTCAGACCCTACACTCTGTCTCAGATGAGTTTCTGCTTCAGCCCAAATACTACATCATGACATCCTAACAGTGAAGATGCTCACTAGGACATTTGTCAGAATACTGGCCTCAGGAGACACTGTGTCCTCCATCAGCACCCTAGACCATGTGTGAAGCCAGGTCGCATGTGTGTCCTAGAACAACCATAATAAGTGAGCACAAACTGGGGACTCGGCACCACACAAACCCAGTGTGAAGTCAAGGGGTCCCTAGGGCTTTCCCTGCCAAAGCTGTATATGGGCAGAGTCTCTCTTTGTTCAGTTCCATGAAATCTTGGGCCTTGGTTGGGTTCAATGTTCCCACTCCTATCTCTCCAGGCATTCTCTCTTATCATGTAAGACACCAGTGATAGAGTTTAGGGCCCCCTAACTCAATCTGACTTCATGATCTTATGCAAAGATCCTACGTCAGTGAAGGCCAAATTCTAAAGGTCTGTTGTGTGGCTCAGACTTCATTGCTGTGATAAGATGCCTATTGCAAACAGTTTAAGGAGGAAGATCTTGGGTTCATGGTTTTAGAGGGATCTCTCCATGGTCATGTAGCTCCATGCACTTGAGCAAGACGGAATAGCAGTGACACATGTTGGAGGAGCCCTGTATCTCACAGTGGACAGCAATGCCTGCCTTACCTTGCTCCCATTTCTATTCCATTGGGGCTCCCAGCTGTAAGATGGGGTTCTGCCACATTCAAGGTTGATTTTTCCCTCTCTGGGAACACCTTCATAGACACACTTAAAGGATGCCTCATTGATCCCCCAGGTGCCTCTTAATCAAGCTGACAAGATGAATGATGGTGGACATGAAATTGGGACAGATGTTATCAACTTCTTATAGACTCTTACACTCTAACACAAAACACTAAGACAACACAAAGGGCTCTCTGCTGTCCCCCATGGAAAACACAGCAAGCTAAGGGACCAAGAAGAACCAATCCCTCACAAATATTCTGACTCCAGTCCTCACCCCACTAAGCTCCTAGCAGATCTTTATTTCCTGCTATTCTGCCCTGCCCGTGGGGTCAGTTGACGGGAACCCTGAGGGAGGGAGAGAGAACGAGGGGACAAGAGATGGGAGAGATGGAGACAAGACAGTGTTCTGATCAAGTCTCGTTTACTGAATATAACCACAGGGTTTAAGTGTGGAGACATGAGGGAATGGGCCAGAGGGAGAATGTGAGGGAGGCAGAATGTCCTTCCAAGCAGAATGCAGGTGTTCTGCTATAAGGTAAGTTGCTATACGATAAGCCGGCAACTGGGACTCTTTCAGAGTCGGGCTGTGTCATTTGCTTAACAGAAAACAGCCATAGGGGAATGGAAAATTACCAGTATGTTAGTATCTAAGCGATACTAACTAAGAGATGCTAACTTTGCTCTGGGATTCCCCAAAGGTCTCTCTTTTAAATATAGTATTAAAAAGGCAATGAGGTGGGATGTCCTTGAGGGGGCTGTGCTAGTCTTGGATCAGGAGTGTGGCATAGCCTTACCCGTCATTGGATGACCATTCCTGTCTTAGGGGGCTACTGGGGCAGGACACTTTCTGTCCTTCCTCTGTTGCCCATCATTGGCTAACCATCCCTGCTCACCAAGAAGAGCATGAATTTATCAATACACAGCTTTAGCTGTGTATTGGCTAGAGTTCATCATAGCTGTCTCCCATTTCGGCCATACCAAGGCTATGATAATGCACCTGTATGGGTTGCATTTTTATAGCATCAATTTATTTTTAATGAAGGCCATCAATTTGTTAAACAGAAAATGTCCTAGCGATAGAATTAGTAGGCCAAGCAGGGGTCCTAGCAGAGGAAGGAGGTAAGGCAGGAGTCCATTCCATGTGCTCCAAATGGGTTGGTCAAACAGATCTCTGTGATGCTTCTCGAGCTCTTCTTGATGTTTCTTGATTCTGTCTCAAACTATTACTGATTTGTTAGCATAAAAGCAGCATTTTTTTTCCTGTAAAGTCAAACAAATGCCTCCCTTGTCAGCAGAGAGTCAACTTGGTCCTGAAGGTCCTGGACTGACCTGTAGATGGTCTGTACATCATTAGCAAGCTGTTGCAACAGCTTGGAATATGATTTTATTGCTATTCCTATGCCTGCGGAACCAGTGGCTAGGGCTCCTGAAATACCAAGTCCAACCAATATTGGAATGAATTGGACTGCTCTCTTGTGCCTCAGAGTGAAATAGTCTAAGCTGGGTATTGGGATGGGCTCATCCCCAGGTATTATTTCTATATCTGGAAGGAGGGTAGCCAGGACACACAACCCTGACCAATTAGCAGGCAACAAGGAATAAGCCAAGCCATTGCCACAAACTAGGACTTGTCCAGGCCCAGCCCATAGAGCTGTGGATACATTAATCACTGAAAAGCAAGAGGTAAAGGAGGCTTGTGCTACATCTATATCAAAACTGTCACTCTTAAAATGTTTATAAAAGCATGAGGAATTATTAAATCTGGCATTCTTGGAGGCAGAGATAGCCCCAGCCATGGTCTTTAAGGTGACAGCTGGCCCTTTTTGCTTGACCCCATCACTCACCCTTGGAGCGGCAATCCTACAGCATCCTTAGACCAAAGCAGGCTATTGTGCCCCTTCCTGCCCTCTTCTCCCCCACAAAGCAGATGAAAGGGCAGAGCACAGAACAAAATAGAACACAGAACAGAGAACAGAACATAGAACAGAACAGAACACAGAACACAGAACACAGAACGCAACAGAACATAGCACAGAGCAGACCACAGGACAGATCAAGAGTACAGCCATCATTGACTAACCAGAGCACACTGGCCCCCTCCCCCCTTGCTGGAATGAAGCTGTAGCACTTCTGTTGGGAAAGCCTTCCCTTCAGAGGATCTGTGCCTGTAATCCCACAGCTCCTCTAGGCCTCCTGGCTTTTGGATACCCCATTCCTGACCCTTTCCTGTGGATGAGTTCCTTCTCCTCGAGATTGTCCTCACCTTCTCACCTCTGTGAAAGCCCTGGTACTAGGCACTGAGTTTCCCTGCTGGCTTAGCCAGGCTAAGCCCCTGACCTCCTTAAGTGTGGTAGCAACCTGCTAAATGGCTTGGTCCTCATCCAGTTCTCCCTGAGTCCTGGGGATACCCATTACTACAGGCTGCAGTGACATTTCCTTTTCTCTCACCCATGGAAATATGTCTTCCACACCATCCCATTCCCCCTTGGGATGCCTCTTAGAAAATCTCCAGTCTCTCCACCTGACACCCGACCTGAAGGGCCCTAAATTTGGCTTCAATACCCATTAGATAATCAATCCAAAAGGCTACATAATGAAACCTTAGACCCTAATATTATTTGGGACTTTTACAAATACTGTGAGCAATCAGGCAAATGGAAAGAGATTTCCCATTCCCTCTTTCTTTTTTCTCCACTTCAAGCCCTATTTGTTTTTGTCTAGTTCCCCTCAACACACACACACACACACACACACACACACACACACACACACACACACAGAGAGAGAGAGAGAGAGAGAGAGAGAGAGAGAGAGAGAGAGAGAGAGAGAGTCTAAATATCTTGTCTTTTAAATTACTGTTGATGGATTTGTAAGTTTGTTGCAAAGTGAGCACCAGGAATTGTATCTTGAGTCAAATCCTTGAATCTGTGATGGGTACCTGTTTATATTGGCATTTAATCATCAGCTTAATTGTGCCCATATAGGAATTACAATTTAGTTAAGGCATCAATGACACAAGAGCCAACAGCAATTAGCATAAGCAGAAGGACCAACATCCCAGTGATAAGTGACAGAGCTCCTATCTAGAAGGAACCTGGAAATGGAGACCAGTCATTTATTTTATCTCAGGTCCCCTATGACAGGAAGTTTCCTTTTGATCTAACATTCCATTTTGTTAGGGGACAAGGGGTGATGTACTATCTTCTGTAATTACTTCCTGGTGAAACTAGGTCATTGTTGTCAGGGTCCCGGGAGTCTGAAATGTTAGATCAAAAGGAAGGAATTCAGGCAATGGGACATTTGTCAGAAGCATCTGATTGGTTGACCCAGCTGAAGAGAGAGCATTCACATCAGCTGGACTGGTCCACATCAGACTTTAGCAAGTCCAGGGCTGACAGTCATTTGGAGCAGGTTGTAGTCAGCAGCTGATGCTTGAGCGTACCTGTCAGCCAAGTGGAAATCTGTTCAGACAGATATAGACTAGGGACAGAAGTCAAAATTTATTAACTTAAAGGAAAATATGTTATATTGGGAACTTTTACGCCCTTAGTTCTAGTAATTGAGGAAGGGGAGGAGTCCTAAGACCAGGAGAGATAAAACTCCCATCCATAGGGATAGACAGGTGGGAAACTTAGTCTGTACTTATCTGGGTCCTTTTGACCTGTGAAAAGTGGATCCAAGTCTTATGAGTCCCCAGATTTTTTTAAGTTTATATGAATTTTCAGTTTAAAAAAAAACATAAAAGTTTTAGATATATTAGCATTTACAGCATTTTGCCCAGTGGTCACTGTTACTAATAATCTAGATGATGTCATCATGTTGTTCCATGTCTTCTTTGGAGATCTTGGGGTCACTGTCAGGAGGTGGGAGTCTCTGTCATAGTAACCTTTTTTTTTTATTAAACTATTTAAATGCTGTATCCATCAGATCATTAACAGTTTGGAGACCACTATCTTTAAATATATCTGAGCTAAACAAATCTAGGCTTAATCTTAAAAATATGTCTAAGTTTAGTAACAACAACCAGGCCATCATGTTACCCTGTAGATGTATTAGTCAAATGGATCTCTCAGGTCCTGTTTTATCTTATATGCTTTTTTTTTTTATCCATAGATGTAAGTCTATCCTTGACATTACAGGAGCAGTAAGACTGAAGTTTTTATTTATAGGTCATAGATGTGATGTTGACAATTATTAAGAAACAGGTTTAGACTTTTCCATGAAACGCTGAATAGCTAAGAGCTTTAGTTTTGCCAATCACATAGAACCCTGTATAAATGGAAGTTTCTTGTCCTGCCCTCCAGTTCCCAAATAACCACTCTGAGGCTTGATATTAATTATAATTGTCTGGCCAATGGATCAGGCATATTACTGATTAGCTCTCACAATTAAATTAACCCATTTTGTTTATATTTTACCACAATGCTCATGGCTTGTTACCTCACATCTTGTTCTCTGGCAACTTCACGGCATCTCCCTGACTCTGCCTTCTTTCTTTCCATATCTTTCTTTGGATTTCCCACCTGGATCTCTTCTGCCTGGCCACTGACCAAATTAACTTTATTTATCAACCAATAAAAGCAACACATAATTGCAGCATACAGAAGGACATCCCACATCAACCCTGCAACCCAGAAGGTTATGACATGATGATCAGTTATTAACCTGCATTTTAATTATATATTTTTAAAGAAACTGTATAGGTACAATACCTTAAACCAGAGTATAACGATATATACACCATAACAAAAATAATCTAAATTTGCATCAACATATAAAAACCCATACCAATGTAAAACATTTGAGACTGGTAGTATTTTCTTACCAATAACAATAATTCATAACCAACCCATATTTATAACCCATCGAATCTGAATGACCAAAAAAACTATCTTTCTCATTTGTCCTGTAGTCTTTCTTGGCTTTCTCCCTCATACCAGGAGGCCTTCTCTAGTCAAACCTGATTTTTATTATTTTTGAAGGAAACAAAGCATAATTCTTTAAAATAATTTTTTTCACTTTACTTTGAAGCCAATACATCTTAAAGTATATAGGCTGATTTAATTCAGCAGTTTTTTTTTAGGCAGTTGTCAGGACAGGAAAGGGTGAAGGTGGGAAGTAGTAATGGTAAGGACCTTGAGGGAGGGAGGTATCGTAAGACTGTAAAGTCTATCATCAGTGAAGAATTTGGCTTAGGAGAGGAGGGGAAGTGATGGTTGCATGGGCAGTGCAACAGCTGGTGGGTACAGAGTGCCTGGCAATCAGTATTCCTGCAAAAGATCATTAGCTTCCCCAGCCAAACAATTAACCAGACTCCCTATTTGGCATTTGAAACTAGGCCAGAGGGGTGGAGCTTGTTGTCTGTTCCATAACAGTATTTTTCAAGAAAAGAGGACAAACAGAACATAACACATACACATAAAAACAAACCTCTGGTGTTAAAAAAAAAAAAAAAAACTGAAAAGATGTAGAAGGCATCTTGTCTCGTGCTCAGGCTTCACCCAGATGACAGAACCTTCCCATCAGTGACTATCATAACCAGATTGGAGCTTCCTAAATCCAAGATTGGAATTTCCAGGTTCTACCAGGAGTTCTGAGCATCCTCAGACTCCCTGAGCAGGAGGGTTATAGGTGTAACTGCCTTCCTCAGTAGGTCTTCAGTTTGTGTCCAGACTCCAGACCAGAACAAAGACCAGAGCAAAGACACACAAAGATATACCCAGACTCACCAATCAATGGAGAAAAGAAAATGTTCTCCTAGAACATTCCACTAATGAGTTAGGGGTCTCCATTGTTTCTCACCCAATGCACCAAATGTAGGGTCTGAGGAAATACTGAAGGAAGACCCCAGACTCAAATAGTATGCAAGAGCAAAGAGAGTTTATTAATATTCCAGCATGCATGTGGGGTCTTTTGCCTGTACAAAATGGCGATGACCCTGAGACAAGCGTGCAAGGCTCCTTATAAGCAGAGCTAAGGGGAGTTTCAGGGACATTGAGGTCACCTCAAATATAATTGGGTAAGCAGGCTGTGATTATATATAGTTTTACCATTTGGGGACATATTTTGACAAGGCAAGGTTATAGTTTTACCATTTTGGTAAAACTATACTTACCATACTTGGGCAAGGCAGGCTATGTTTTAGGGAGATTACAGGAACTGTTTTTTCTGGTCACTGCCTTGAGGTGCTGTTGGGGCTGGCTCAGGCCTGGTATGTGTTATCTCCCTCCTTATCTTTTTAGGAAACTGAAACTCAGGCCCAGGTGTAAAATGGGGCAAGTTCAGTCTAGAGAAAGAAAGCCTGACTCCATAGGCAGTCTTAGCAACAGCTTTTAAGGTGTACCACAGGAGGGATGAAAAAGCCTGAAAACAAAATTACCTTATGTAATTTTCAACTGGCAAAGCAACTTGCCAGGCTCCCTGGCTCCCAAAGCCTGAGAACCACCAGGTACCTGTTTCAAATGCAGTCAGGAGGGTTACTGGGCCTGGGACCTGATTGATCCCTTGTAAGCTGCCCAGACCATGTCCAAGGTACCATCAAGAAGGAAAATGGGGATTGACTGCACCCATGCCCCTCATGGTGCAGTCTAGATGGCCCTTCAGCCAACCTCCTAGGTCTGACCATGGAGGGACCAGAGGCACCTGGGCTCGCTTGGCCTGATCACGGCCTTCTCTCACTGGGAATGTCTGGTAGATAGCACATTAACAGGGTGACCTATCTTCCTCCTTCTGGGCACTGGGGTATTTTCGTCCTGGTGGGAGTTTTAGGGACTCGCATCTTCTTGTTCTCCTATTGTCAGGGTAAGGTGAAGGCTTTACCAGCTTCACCAAACCCCACTGAATATATCATACAGAGGCTCAGTACCACCACATTCTCTCTCTATATATCATCAGGGGACTTTAAGCCTCTTATCTCTGGCCTCTTAAGAAGGTGGTTCTTTGACCTTTCCTTGCCCCCTTTCCCTCTCTCTCCCAGTACCCTCCTAGACTTATGTTTCAATTTTCCTTGCCTCCCAAAAGGAGCTTACTGCTAAATTTCACAGCTTCCTTAAATCCTATGCTGGAAGTCTTACAGCTTCTCTCTGCACTCCTGGGCTTCTCTTGTGCCGAAAACTCCTAGTTAAAGCTTACAGGAACTCCCTCCGGTGGAGTTTGTTTTCAGTGGACTTCATTTTGCCACTGACTCAGATTAAAACCTCACTCTGTTACTACAAGCAGAAAAGAGGTGGCCTTTGTCTCTTCCTCAGGGAGGAATGTTGCTTTTATGTCAACCAGTCAGGTATAGTAAAAGACAAGCTCTGACAACTCTAGATGGATCTCCAAAAATGTACGAAACATCTTGAGGCCAGTGGCTCACTGACAGTGCAGTATGGAATTGGATACTACCCTTCTTAACCCCCCATCTCCTTTTCTTAATCCTACAAGTCGAACCCTGCTTTATAAATTTCTTGTCTAGATTCCTTCAACAACAGATTTTAAAGATTTCTAACCAGATTTTTAATCAGTTGCTATTACAGGATTAGCAGCCCCTAGCTACAGAGCCAAAGGATTTTGATGCCCCTACTCAACAGGAAGTAGTATAATGTAAAATCACCCCTCTTTCCCATGACCTGGTTCTTTATCATAATACACAAGAAATGGGGGAATGTAAGACCCTCAAGCCACACAAGAGTGACTAGGCCCTTCCCCTGAGGACCTCCATCTGCCAGGTTCTACCCACAGGACACTCTTAACTGCTGGACCAGTAAAAAGCCCAATCTTTGGACATAAAATTCCACCAAGCCCCACCCCAGAAAGCTCTACCCCCTCCCCAAGAAACTCTATATAAGCCCTGTATCCTGTTCAGTTTACTGCTGTTTCTCACCTGAACAGAGGCAGCACCCTCCTGGTTTTCTCCCTCCCAATAAATCTCTTTTGTGAGATTTGTTGTGTGATGTGACTTTGTGGTATTCCTTGATGCCAGGATGCCTTTCCATCTGAGCTGTAATGCTTACAACTAGACGGTTTTTATCTGGTCCCACAAACAAAAGCACTCATTACAGATGCTTGCTCATAAAGTTTATTGACAACTGTTTGGTCCCAACACACAAACAGCACTTGAACCACAAGGGGGAGCGGGCATTCAAACAAAGTAGACAGTTAAGAAAAACATCTTGTCCCCCAAGCCTGATCAAAAGCAAAAAGTGCAAGGATGGGAAAGGGGTTTTGGTGATAACTTCTTTCTTTTTAACAGACAAATCGAATCTGGTTCATCTTTCCACCCACCCAGAAAGAGTGTCTCATCATCTCCATGTGCATACATCATAGTATCATCACCTAAACCTCTGGATAAAGAAATAGTGACTAGACTGGCCACTGTGGGCACATCACAGACTCAATGTGTTTCCATTGAGTTTTTGCATTTTTAAACAGCAATGGTTAGTTACACTCATCCCAGACACATGGGCAACTCCAGCAAATGGCAAAGATATATCCATTCACTGTACACAACTATTCTTTGTTGCCCACAGAACAAACTGACCTTTGAGATGGTTCCAGTGACTTTAGTGACACACAGTGTTTTCAAACTTCATAATCCCTTCTACCTTTGCAAACCTGAAGTCTGAGCAGACAAGCTTATCCTTAGGATGTCTGTGAATAAAGGCAACTCACATTCTCAACACTAATTTTATTATGTTGCTTAAAAGTCTGAAAGAAATTGCACATGGGCCATTTCACTTCCTATGTACTAAATCTGCAGAGGAAGTGCCATGAGGTCTTGAGGAAGTGCTGCCAGGCCTACACAGGAAGTACCTTCAAGCTTTGCAGTGTGGTAAGCCTGCAGAGCATTTCCAGTGCAATTCCTTCTCGGGCATGTCATGTGCTGAGAACTAGGAATCACTGGCTTCATTTTGACAATAAAAACCCAATTGGTAAGAAAAATCTCTCTAGAGCCTTTAATTTTGTGACATTTTATCAAAATGCTGGCTATGAAATCAGAATCCATTTTCTGGCTTTCTAGAAAAAAAACAAAATATAAACATTTCCCATCAAAGAAACCATCTAACTAGTGGAAGACAGTGTGCCCATAGGTTCTTTCTGCTCTATGAATGGATCTGCCTTTTTTGCCCAACAAATACAATCCATTGTAAATGTCAGGTCTCTCTAGCAGGGGTGAGAGGCCACTCATAAGCAGACACCTCAGGCACCCAGAGAGAAGGTCATTCCACAGGGCGGTGTCCACAAAGGCTGGCTTTTCCCAAATGCCAACAGCCAACATCAGACACCACAAAAAACAAAACAAAATGACCAAAAAAACAAAACAAAACAAAACAAAACAACAACAACAACAAAACACAAACACAAAAACCCAAATGTGCTTCCAATAGCGAGAAGTAACAGTAAAACCAGACGCTATTAAAAGACGACAAGAACTAACATGGACACCTATCTTCACATGGAGAGCTTCCCAGCTTTACAGGCAACTTTAAAATCACAACAACAAGGTTAAGCTGATCAACCTTGGCCTTCACATTATAGATAGAACTCCAGTCTCTTCCTAGTGGAGATAGTATCAAACCCACTCCTTTTGAAGCACCTCGACACTCAGCTGATTTACAATTTATGCATTTGATGCATAGTTTAAAAAAATCAGACTCTTTCCAACACCACCTCTCAACACATAGCAATGTGTGCCGTCATTCAAATGCTGACTTAAAATGCATGACACTGAGACCATCTCCTTTCCTTAACCTGATCCTTAGCAAACTTGGATGGATGGAGAAGGGAAGCATGAAACAACTTTCTAGAAAGCTTCTAAATGGAATCTCCAAATGGACACATTTAAAAAATTGGGATGAAGCCACATTGGTCAACCACAGACACAGTTAAATAAAAAAACAAGGCACACCAATAAGTCACCTGGAAACCAGGAACCATCCTGTATCAGCCTGAAAATGGCTCTCCTGCTGCTAACTCGTCCCCCAGTGTGTGACCCATAGGCTCATGGACATGCTTGGCTTCTCCAACAACCACAACACTATTTGCTTAAAGACAGAGGTTGCTCAATGGGAGGTAAGCCACTTCCTGCCGAGTGATAATCACTGCTTACTCCCTCCCACCAACCGCATTTCATAATAATTTAGAAACATTTGGTAAATATATTATGGATTCCTTAACAAAGGCCTTTCAATAACAGGGGTGGGGGGAGAATAAAGGAAGAAAAATTTCATCTGAAAGTTCAAAAGGAACACTGCCCAGTGGACCATCTATAAAAGTGGCTTCTGGGGTCAAGACAGAAAATGAGGCTTTTAAGCCCAGTTGTGTGTGTAGAATCAGACAGTTTTCCCCCCCTTGATCCTAACTTAATTCTGTGTTCAAATGGGAGTTAAAGCTTGGTTATAGGTGCGAAAGAAAAGTTGGCTGCCAATTTGACTCTATTTTTGGGCTGCTTTTTGGCTGGGCTTTCCACTGTGTCCTTGCTGAACAGTGGCTCGGGGGCTTCCAAGGAGGGGCTGGGAAGAGCAGGGGCAGATGCTAGGCTGCAAGGTGAGCAGGAGTTACAGGGCATTATCTCTCCCTTCTTCACTGGTACTGGAACTTCAGTTTTTTCTTCTTGGTTTAAAAACACATTTCCTAGAAAGACAGAAAAGTAAATAGATTTAGTTTTAGGGTTCATAAGTAGTGGTTTTCAGTTCATCTGTATTTAAAAACAAAAACAAGCTTATAAAACCCTGCCGGAGCCAGGTGTGGTAGGTGGCTTGTTATTCCAGCCCTCAGGAAGCTGAGACAGGATTACCACAGTGCTAGTCCAGCCTTGGCTACATGCCATGACACTGTCTCAAAAAACAAACAAACAAACAAAAAAAAAAACAACAAAACAAGCTAACAGTAGAGATGCATGCCTTTTATCTCAGCACTAAGGAGGCAGAGGCAGGCAGATCTGAGTTTGAGACCACCTGGTCTACAAAGCAATTTCCAGGACAGCTAAGGCTACACAGAGAAGCCCTGTCTCAAAAAAACCAAAACAAACCAACCAACCACCAAAATGTCACACATATGTCACATTTTAGATAGTAGCTAGTGGTCAATAATATGTCACAAAAGTCAAATATTTATAAATGGCAGATCACTTCTCTTTGGATTGCGAATTTTAGACAGGCCATGTTTGGCTACTTATCAGAGGCTGGTTTTTATTCCTTAGACTCTTTGCTCCTTCATTCCTCTGTTTGAAGACCAAAGACTCATAGGCCTTATGTGTACTTTTGGAGCAGCAGGGACCTTAGTGAGTGAGCACCTACCCATTCTTATGGTGAGATCTTGCTTGTACAAATAAAGCCTGTCTGGGGAGTCAGAGAATGGAGTTTGCCACTAGCTAACCATAGAGGCCTGGAGGTCTGTACAGACAGGAAGTGAGTTAGCTGGGCAGAAACAGGACACAAACAGGAAGAAACAGGAAATCAATCTCTTGTCAGCTGAAATGCGAAGGAGGTAAGGTGTGCTGTGGCTTGCTCCTTCTCTCTGATCTCTCAGCATTTCCCAGTATATCTGACTCTGGCTTTTTATTATCTAGACCAATTAAAAACTCCATTTACGAATACTACTCATCGGTAAGAAACAATGGCATCCTAAAATTCCCGGGCAAACAGAACCAGAAAAAAAACATCCTAAATGAGGTAAGAAAACTGAATGGACCTCACATCAGGCTGGCACAAAGTTAGGATGGTAAGAGGTCAGCTTTCAGCCAGGCATGGTAGCTTCATGCCTTTAGGCCAGTCCCAGTAGTCAGGAAGCAGAGAAAGGCAGATCTCTATGAGTTCAAAGCTAGCCTGATCTACAAAACAAGTTCCAGTGAGACCCTGGTTTGAGAAAACAAAACAAAACAAAACAACTACAACCTCAGTCAGCTTTCTTGTCTTTCAGGACACAGGGCCTCAAATCATAGGTGCCTTTCTCAGACCAACTTTCTAAAGCCCTGGGTTGTGTAGCAGGTGACAGGGGTTGCCTATGGAGCAGCTGAACCTCAGACATGATGGAAAGCCAGAAGTACCAGAGGACATGAGCCAGGACTCGTTATTCTAAGGCTCTTCCACAGCCCAGTGACATTGGCCCTCACTTTAGACTATTTATATATACATCCTGATTTACTCACCCTATTAGTCAAAACCCAACGAGGAAAGGAAGGGCCTGAATAATCAGCACAAGTACTTGTACACCTGACACAGTGTCGTTTCCCCTTTGTCCATCAGACACCTTCTACACTGGCATCATGGGTCATTTACTAAACTCACAGACAGGTGCCCAGCATACACAGGGTTACTTACCCAGAGGCTCTTGAGGGCGTTCCTCAAACTGAATGAGATCAGTGGGCTGCAGGATGACAGGATCTGGTCTTAGCTGAGGGGATGGCAGGCATGAAGGGACAGGAGCACAGAGGAGGTCCACAGGGGAGCTGTTGGCCAAGTGCAGGAGCTCCTGCTCCATTTGGCTGGGCTCTGCAGAGAAGGCAGGCATCTGCAGTCAGCATAGGCACACAAGTCTGCTCCTGAGGCTTTCCTCAGCCCCACAAGTCAGCATGGAGGACTCTGGCACTCATTATGTGTGTGTACATATAGTGTATATATTTTATATATGTGTCTATTTAAGTCAGCACGAAGGACTCAAGCACTGGTTAGGTAGGTAGGTAGGTGTGTGTGTGTGTGTGTGTGTGTGTGTGTGTGTGTGTGTGTGTGTGTGTACATATGAAATAAACAACAACAAAGCCATTATCAGAAGACCACTGAAAAAAATATACCAAAGACAACAGTTTGCTGAAGACTTGTGTTCTTAAGAACACTGGTCTCGGGGCGGGGGGTGGGGGGGGGTGGCACGATCCCTTAATCCCAGCACTCAGGAGGCAGAAGCAGGTGGATCTCTGAGTTCAAGGCCAGCCTGGTCTACAAAGCTACACAAAGAATCCCTGTCTCGAAAAAACAAAACAAAAAAAACCACTGGTCTCAGGGAAGTAGGAGGACTCAAGGGGAACGAAACTGGGATTGGTACATAAGTTTAAAAAAAAAAAAAAAAAAAAAAAAAAAAAAAAAACACAATAAAAACCATTGATCTCTGAAGAGGCCCAAAAAGAGAAGTGCCTTTGGAGGAGAAACAAAACTGCTGAGGGCTGGGGCAGTGGGAGGAGCCAGGGCAAGAAGCTTCGGCAATGTCAGATGCTGGAAATAGCTTTTCTCTAAGCATAAGGCACAGTTATCCTCCCATCTACTCATGATGTTGTGTGAGGATCCCTCTTACATTCTACACTGGAATTCAAGTCTACAGGGTTCTGGAGTGGCTTCTGCCAATACAGAGCTGGCTCTACATAAAGCCTGTCCTTCAGTTACCTAGAGAGCACTTTTGTACCACCATATGTCACACTCATGCTCAGGTCTCTGAGCCCTTTTCCTCATGAGGCATGTGTGCTGTGTCCTTTCCAAATCTAGTCCAGCAAGAACCCTGATGACCCAGCTCAGCATAGCCCACCAACCTTGGCACCTACTCATCCTGACCAGACTTTAGCAGAATTCTATTAGAGTATCAGCACAGATTCACCTACCCTTCCATCCACCTCTGTTTATACTTCCTGGCACTCTGTCCTAGGTCTTTTTTTGGAACTGGGCTTTCTTTCCTTCTAGCACCACAGTTTTAAACAGTCATTTTAGTATGCTTCACACACATGAACCTATTCTGTAAGAATCTTATTTAGCCAATCATTCAATATTACCACATGTACATCTGTTGTTAACTACATACCAAACTGCACCGGGGGATAAAAAAAAAAAAAAAAAAAAAAAAAAAAAAATGAATGTTTAGGTCTGGAGAGATGGCTCATCAGTTAAGAGCACTTGTTGCTCTTGCTAAGAATCTGGATTTGGTTCTCAGTAGGTACACAGTGGCTCACAACCATCCATAATTCCTGTTCTAGAACATCCAATGCCCTCTTCTGACCTCCTCAGCCACCAAGCAGGCACATACACAGTGCACAAATACATGAAGGCAAAATACTCATACACATAAAAATGAAATACACCTAATTATTTAATGACTATTTAACTTTAATGACACTGCCCTCTGTCCTCTTCCTTCCAAGTGCCTCACCCCAAGCCTCCTTCTGCAACTTTAAAGCTCTGCATACTTTGTTGCTTTTCCTCTAGTACCAAGTACCTGTTCTGAGCTGGAGTTCTGATGCTATAGGGGATTCCGGCACCTCCAGGATCTGTCTGCTGACTGCAGGTTGCTCTTCATGATTGACAGGGAAAATATCAAGGGAGCTTAGCCGGTCTAGAAGAAAAGAGCATCCATCAGAGAGAGAGAGAGAGAGAGGTTAGTGAGACAATCACAATGGAGTTGGGGGACTAGAATGAATGGAGGGTTACTTACTTTTCATGTCATTTTTTAACACTACAATTCTCTTATGACCATGTCCTTTTATCCAGACCACCTGTGCAAAGACATACACCTGGTTAAGCAATGGAAAAGGAAGGGAAAATACCTAACATTCAGGAGAGTGGGGCTTCTGTGTCTGCTTCTCACATACCAGAATCAGAACTCAGTAAATGCCAACAGCTCTTCTACATGCTTTCTTTAGCTTCACAGATAGCAAAGGATAGAAACACACCTCCATCCCAGAAAAAGAAAGTCCTTATGATTCTTCTGTAATGTCCACCATGACTTTGGGACTTAAATCCAGAAACTTCCTACATTGGAGTACTCACCATTTCTAATAGAAACTGAACTCAATCTCAAAGGACAGCATCTCCCAGACTTCAACTAACTGTTGATGCTGATGGTAAAGCAGCTGCCCTGACCTGGTGGTACTGCTCTCCACATTCAGTCAGGTCAGAGTGGAATGGAAGTAGGCTTTGGTTCTCAGGCGTCTCCAACTGAGAGTTCTGCAAATCCCTGCCCTCAGCTTGCAGGCATTCTTCTACAATTTTTCATCAGAGGCTGAGCATCCTCTGTGTCAACTGCTTGGAATCACAAGGGTTTTGGATTTGGGAGTGTTTGTATATACCTAATGAGGTAATGTGGGGTCTGGGTGATTTACACTAGAAATTCACCTGTATCTCATAATCATTGCATACACACAGCCTGAAGGGACTTGAGGTGTGTTTTCCCTTGTTTTATAGTAAAAAGTGTTTTTGACTGCAATTTGTCACAGGTGGTCAGGGTGTACTGTCCACTGTGGTGTCATGTTGCTTCCAGAAGTTTTGGAATATTCCGGGCTTTAGAATTTGACTACAAGTGCTCACCTGTGTTTTAACCCTGCTCAAGTCTTTCACTGACACCTTCTGTGGCCGGGGCAGCAGTCAGTTTCACTTCCTCTCACAGCTGCTGGCTATTCTTCATCTGTGCATGCCACCTTACCTACCAGGACAGCCCATGCCTCCTTGCCACATGGTAACTCACAGACATGCTCAAAAGTGGGCCCTGCCTGTGCCATTGTTCATACTCACCAAGCAGAGAGAGGGCATAGCATGCTGCTCTAGCCATACTCTACTTAGGATATCTGCTTAAATATCCTATCTGGTTAGGTGACCACTGAGTACATTTCTAGAGGGAAGACATGCACAGGAATAAAGGTTTAGAAAATCACCGAGAAACACTAAAATCATTCATCTTATCTGGCAGTATTCTGGTGGCACCTTACGTCTCTGATCAGGTGTCAGGGATGGCTCTTTAGGAAGACACTTTCCCAGAAGCTGAGGAAAACCCCTACCTGTGGGATGGCTCCCAATAGCTCCTCCACACTACTGTAGCCATATGTTTTGGGCTGCAGTGTTTCTCCAACATATTTGGTATAGGCCATGGAAAATTCATGAAGGAAAATCTGCTGGTAGTGATAGGTGTGAAGCAAAGACCGCACATTCTTTGCAAACAAGTATAGGCTTGTGAGCTTCACACAGTCTTCTGCCTTATCGTTTGTAAATATCTGGGCCAGAAGAAAGAGAAGGGTTAGAAACTTCCTGAGTGACAGACCCCGTCCCCTCTGGCTGAAGTCGTCCTGCCACAACACTCTGAAGGCCCCAAATCAACTTCTAGGAGGGATTCACAGAAGGGTCTCCCAGAGCCCTAGGAGGGGTTCATGGCAAGGACTTCCAGAAAGGCTAAAACAACCCAGGGAAACTTTGATTTCTCTGCAGTATAATCCTGTCAAGTTTGGAGAGACTGTGGTCTCAAAGCAAGCAGACAGGAAAGGCAAGGCAAACCCAATACACACACACACACACACACACACAATAATGTGAGGCGGAACAGTGGCTATCCTTGCAAACACACACAAACTGCCAGATTTGGGATTGAGGTGTAGCTCAGCAGAACACCTACTTAGTACAAGTGAGGTCCTGGGTTCAGTTCCTAGCACTACAGAACCAAGAACTTTTCATTATTGATCCAGCACATGGTCACAGGGAAATCGTTTATCCTTCATTCCCTACATGGCTGCATTTTATTATGCATTGACATCTCCTATAGTATGATTTTCTTTTAAGAGACTATATTAAGACAGGTATGTTTGCACACACTTTTAACCCCAGCACTCAGGAGGCAGAGGCAGGCAGATCTCTGTGAGTTTGAGGCCAGTCTGATCTACACAGTGAGTTCCAAGACGGCCAGAGCTACAACATAAAGAAACCCAGCCCCTTGAAGACAGGGTTTCCCTGTATAGCCTATCTATACAGGCTGACCTAAAATGTATAGAGAGCTACCTGCCTCTGCCTCCTGAGTGCTAGGATTAAAGGTGTGCACCACCATTGGCCCATCCTTTTCTTTTCTGTTTTCTTGGTTTTTCAAGACAGGGTTTCTCTGTGTGGCTTTGGAGCCTGTCCTGGAACTAGCTCTGTAGACCAGGCTGGCTTTGAACTCACACACAGAGATCCTCCTGCCTCTGCCTCCCAAGTGCTGGGATTAAATGCATGTGCTGACCCCGCACCACCTGGCTTTTTTGTTGTTTTGTTTTTGTTTTTAGAGAGAGAATCTTTCTACACGGTCTTGGCTGCAGATATTGCCTGTGATTCCCAGTCCTGGAACTAAAGACATGACCTCCATGCACAGTTCCTTTAACTGACTTTTTCTAGGAGCTCCATCCACCAGCCCTGGGATGGTCTACGTGCTGCCAAGTGACAGAGTCTTCTCTTTTGCTCTTTTCCAGCAACAAGAGCAATTCCTGGAAGTGAGTCTAGAGCTAACCTTCCTTTTTAACTTCCACTGCTAAGTTACCCGAAACTGCCACATAGGCCAGTGGAAGGAGGCATCAGCATTAGTCTCTCTTCCTGACTTTCCTAGGCAACTAAGAAAGAGTGGGAGATATAGGCTTTCCCAGGAAAAAGCCCCCTAATGATTATCTAATTCCAAGTGGTTAACACATGTAACACAGACTGAGTAGGCTGTATTTATAGTTTTAAGTACACACACACACACACACACACACACACACACACACACACAAAGAAAAAAGTGTCATGGAGACAGATAGCTCAGCTCTAGCAGAAGACCTGGGTTCAATTCCTAGCACCCAAATGTTGGTTCGCTACCATCTGTAACTTCAGTTCCATGAGCTCCAAAGCCTTTTCTGACTTCTGTGGGTACCAGGCATGCATTTGATGTAATACATAAACACAAGCAAAACATTCATACGCATGAAATAAAATAAATAAATCTACCAGTAAATAAATACAAATGTTTTTAAAGAGAAAAGAGGTCATGAGTTTCACAGAGAGCAAGAAGGGGTAGATGAGAGAAGGCAGAGGAAATGGAAAGGGAAAATAATGGGATTGTATTTTAATTTCAAAAGATAAAAAAATTACTAAAAGAAAGAAAAATGGCTAGCCAATTTCAGGACCTCCAGTGCTCCTCCAGGTCTACACACACTAATGCAGACCTAACAGGACTCCAGAAGTGCTGTGTGGAGAAGCTTCTGATATAATGGGTCTGAAGACCTGCCCAACATGTACCTCCACTAAGTAAGGCAGACTCTTCAGTAGCTCAGTCAAGGTCATGAACCCATATTCACAGGGGTTGAGAGGAGTACTGTGGGTGGTTTCGTAATGTCTCCTGAGCTCATCAACAGAAAGATAGGCATCTCCTTCCCAAGACATCAATAACACCAGCAACTGGGCAGTGAGAGACCGCAGAGACTTCCTGTTGATCAGCTGGATCTGTTTGCCAGACTCCAGGTCAGCAACCTAGGAAAAGGAGAAGGCAAACCCACTTCAGATCATCTTTTTCTGGTTAACAAGACCAACAGAGGCACGTACTCACAGACAGAGTGTGTTTCTCTGTGACAGCACACCAACCCTTGGAGTGAGACTGGAACAGAAACTGTTTTCACCTACAGGCTCCACCCACTCATTTTTCATGTTGTGATTTGGAAGACACTGTTGTGGTTCTCTCTACTTATGTGTCCTTTCATACTTGTTTTCCCCAAAGACAGACAGACAGCAGGTGAACTGACATGCCTCAGCCAAGCCACTGACTAGGTTGCTGACCAACGGAAGGCCCTACAACTAATTTTAAAGCTGGCATTTTCATCTGTTATGCATTTAATTGATCATTGCAGATTCTCAAGGAGACAAGGACTTAAGGCACCAAATACCAAGGCAGAGACAAATACTTGGGTGACTGAGATCATTCGCCTTCTTCGGGTACAAGGACCTGCCATAACCTTAACTGCAGGTGACAGAGCTCTGTGCACTCACACCATTGGCCAGTGGACCCAGGCTTCTCTCTTAGACTTCTCCGAAGACTTTACTTTCTCTGCAAGGACCAGAGGGCTCATTGCCTATAGTTGGACCTGAGGGATCACATACTTGTCCTCTTTAGGACCCTGGACTCAGCCTAGCATTAGCACATCTATTTTCCCAGTGCACTCTGGACTGAGATAGGAACATGGTGGCAGACTCCCACTTTCATTGTGGTTGCAGAGCTGTACACATTTCGTGCTTAGAAAGCAGGGTCTCAGGGGGGGCTGGAGAGCAGGCTCAGCAGTTAAGAGCACTTGGTCCTCTTGCAGAGGCCCAGGGTTCAGTTCCCAGAACCCATATAGGGAGGTACAATCATCTTTAATTCCAGTTCCAGGTGATCCAATTCCCTCTTTTGGCCTCTACAGGTACTGCTCTGACATTAATGTTATGTACACACAAGACAAGCAGGCAAGCACACATACACATAAACATAAATCTTTAAAACAGAAATAAAAGCAATCACTCAATTAGTCAGCAGACACAAGTCTAGAGGGTTTGAGTCACTGTCTTAGAATCCCAGACCATTACTAATACCGCTGTTTAAGAGAACTAAACAAAACTGTTTCTTTGCTGCCCCTGAAACCCATGTCTTGCTCTCAGTCATCTAGGACATGGTTCAGGATCTTGCAGACAGCTTGGGAAACCATGCCCAGTATCTCCTTCAAGCTTCCCATGAGGCTCCAGGAGGCAGCCAGGAGTCTCACCTTTCCCTGCCTTTGCTACTTGAACCAAACCTCCCACTGATTAATCTTTGGCTCTGGCTCAGAGTCTTCGCTAGGTATTAGGTGTTTTGAGACAGGGTCTAATGTAACCCAGACTGGCCTCTGCAGGTAGTCAAGAACAACCGTGAACTCAGGTTCCTCCTTCCTTCTATATGGAATGGAAGACAGAAGCAATTCCACTGCTCAACCCTTCTCACTTTGTTAAGGAATGGAATTTACCTCTAGGTGGAGACATGCTCTTAAAACTCCTTATGAGTTAAGAAAAGGGCGGGAAGAAGACTCATTGGTTAAGAGCACTGGCTACTTTTCCAGACAACCAGGAATCAATTCCCAACATGAGAAGATCACAATTGTTTGTAACTCCAGACCCAGAGGATCCAATCCCTCTTCTGGCCTCCATGGGCACTGCATATACAATGCGCCTCCTCACCCTTGATGCCACGTATCAGACCTTCTCTGAGCTCTTCTACCTTAAGCCTCGTCCCCTCTTCTCTTTAAACAGCTTCTAGATAACCTTCCATTTAATGATAACACACCATTCTTTTACTGGTGACAAAAATGCCAGAATGAGTTTTACTAGGGTCAACCCAATAGCCCCCTGTCTTGTAAAAGATTAAGACAGTCCTTTCTTCTGGTCCACATCCCACATCACACTGCCCCAGAGGCCCTTCTGGTCTCAGTCTGCTCATTTCTAAGTCATCCACCCTTTTTTGGCACTCCCAAACACACTCGCATCACCTATACATCATGCCAGGAGCTCATGAGTTTCACTCAGCCCATGTCTAGCTGTGGGCCTTACATTTTTCCTCTCACAAGCAAGCTAGTCAAAAGCTGTGGCAAATCCTGTTCTCCACTTTCCTTTGGCATCTCATTGCTGAGCCTACTCTAAGTGCTATTCTTAGCAATAAGTCAGTTACCTCCACCCACCTAAGTCTTATAGAATGAAACTGGCCACTCTCTTCCTGTTTCCTCTAACCTATCAGTAATCAGAACATACCCAGATTCTCTCTGTGGCACTGATTGATGGTGCCACCAACTCCCTTGCTTCCCTTTCCATTTCTTCCTCCTGGCAATCGTTCCCTGTCCTGTGCTATAGATGTTCTGGAAACTGTCCAGCTGCGCTACCTATAAGTGGGAGGGTCAGCTCAGCATAGGATGCAGGGAAGAGGAGAAAGGTGCCCTCTAAAAGGGTTTTGCAGGCTCAAGGGCAATTTTAAGCTTGTGTTTATTCTTAAGATGACTCCTAAATGAGTCAGGATCCTTGGAAGATACCTGATATAGTCTCCCAGAAACCCTGGAAACAAAGAACTCTCTGTAAGGATTCAACTTTATCTGAGCACACACACCCTAGGGTAAAAAGTGATTAGTCCAGAAAGGTCATAAATAAAGATATAAAAGGAAGACCATCAGCCTAAAATATCAAATCAAGCCACTTCCTATCACCTAGTAAGGTTTCAACGACACACAGCTGTGAAGCAACAGCAAGACACACACAGGGTACAGAAATGCTTCAGTACACAACACCCTACATGAATCATGCCACAGCCTACTCAGTAGAAGGACACTGGCTTACCTTTACAACATGACAGAGCTTTTGTGTCAAAGCAGAGACTGAGGTGACATCGTAGTCTTGGAGGCGAAATGTATAACCAAAAGTTTTAGCATATTCTGTGAGCAAATCTGTCATCATAAGACAGTTATCTTTTTGGGACCGCAGAAGCTTAACAAACTGGGCAGCTAGAGCTTTGAATCGCTCCACTTCGGTCAAAGTCAGGATTTTCTCTTCTCCACATTCCAACACCTTAAAATACACACAGGAAGGAAGAAGGAGTTTGAACACATGATTGTATGTAGAGTTAAATGGCATGGAAACCTACACGATGGTCATTTAAGATGAGAGTGTGGTTATGGAGATGCAGTTCTGCAAGATCAAAGTGCTCTTCCCTAGGCAATCAAACACACATATAAGATGTTCCTTCTCCTGGCAGTACATTCTGTTATGTATATTTTATAACAATAAAAGTTTTAACAACACTTTTAGATTCAAAGATTATATTAATAAAAATCAGTAACAGAAATCCATCCCCATTTGAAAGAGCCTGGCACAAATATTTTCACCCCACCTCCAACCAAGGAGATTTGGGAAGCATGGTGCTGCTGATAAAATACCCAGTTTAACATTTAAACCATCTCATCCTATTTTCAGTGACCACTCTAAGATGAGTTGAGGATTATTTTCAAGTTGGAGTCTTACTGTTTAACTGGCTTCAATGACAGAGTTCCCCAGCCTCCACTTCATAAATTCTGGGATTAAGAACAAATCACCCATTTACATAAAATTACTAACAAAAATACAGTTTTGCTGATGAGAATATTTTAGACTCATAACTAAAAACCATAATGCCTCCCTACACATTGCTCAGAAAAACACTTAATAAAACTCTCTTCACTTACTTGTAAAATCTCAGGTATGGCTTCCAAAAGTTCAAGCAACTTGGTAAATCCATAGTATGCAAGTTTGCACTGCCGGCCAAAGTGGTGATGGTAAGAGGGAATGAACTTGTTAAATGGCATCCGGAAGTGCGGCTGGTGGCGCAGCAAGTCCACAACATCCTTGGAGAACTGCTTTGTCCTTTCTATCTCATCCTGAGTTCGTTCTTTAAAAAAACAAAGCTCCTTATACATCAGGCTTCTAGCCACTGTGTTTAGTACTGACCTGCAGGGCACTCTGGAGTCACAGAAGTTAGCTTTGCCTTCCCCAGCCACACAGCCCACAATAAATACAGGCCCTTGGTAGTAGGTTCTTTGCCAATGGTTCTCACACAGGCGCAAGGCACAATCCTGGGAAATGAGGCTGCTACTGTGGGAGGTGAGACACACATGTGTCATCACCTAAAGACAGGGACAGTTTCTACAAATCCTGTCCATTACACCTATGTGAACAAGACAGACGACAGAGGTCTGGATGTTTCAAGCACTTCTGAACATTCACACATTTTTTTTTAATTTATTCATTTGATCTTCAGTTCAAAGATGCCAGCAGAAGAGATTGTCAGCCATCAAAATTTTAACAACATTAAAGAGAAAAAGTACTTAAACACTGATCTTCATTTCTACTAATTTTAAATTGATGGAAGAGAATTGGGAAAGGACAGACACTACAAATGCAAAATCTGGAAGCCTGTGACCTCAGGAACACAGACACTTTCATGGGTAAGCGGGTGGAATACAATAATTCACATGTGTCTCCCAGACTTGCCTGTACTGAACTACTTACTACACATGGAAAGACAAATGCCACATTTCTATGAGTTTGTTTTCTTCCCAAGTATGTATGATGAAACAGTTCTCTGAGCTAAGACAGAGTCTGCACCAGGTAACATGGGTATTAGAAACTGCTGCACTCTGCTGGGAAGCATTCAACAGAGTGGTGGTTACAGCCTCTTCTCCCCTGTGAGTAGATTCTTAAAAACCAGTGTGCTTTCTTACAGGGCAAATGGCTTCCATTCCTTCAAGGAACACAGGCAGGTTTACAAACAGCACTTCCCAGAGAACCATCAAGAACCATGGACAAGGAGAGAAAAGGGCATCCCTCCTCCACCCCACCCCACCCCACCCCACCCCAAAAATCAACTAAACGAAAACAACCTATTTCACTTAAAAGTAATTGATGACTGGGATCACGCCTACAATCCCAACCCCTGGGGTGGCTGAGGTCAGAGTAGTAATCTTAAGTACAAACCAGCCTGAGCTGCACAGTGAAGTTGGGTCTCAAAGTACAATAAAAACACAGGCACTACTGACATAGACAAGATCCCTCCACATACCTCTTTTGCGGATACAAACGACCATGTCGTCATCTTGTTGGGACAAGCAGATGGTTGTATCTGGGATCTCTGATATGATATCAGTCAACTCACAAACACCATATTCTGTGACATCCCAGTCCTTTGAGAAACACCTATGTTTTAACATGGGAAATGTATAAAGAATGAGTAAAAATGCTTAATGGAAATGTGGAAGGACAGTTTGAAGCTTGTGGGAAGAAAGGGCATTTAAAATGTCTTGTTTTCTTAAGCTTCCCATCAACTCACCAATGATATGCCTGTGAGAACTCTCTCACAATGACCTGCTTGCTGGCCTGGGACTTGAGAAGTTTTAGTAAATCCTGAGTAAAGCGCTTCACCTGCGCCCTATGAGTAAGGGTCAGCAAACGCTTGGAGCCCATTCCAAGAATCTGAAAATGAAATGTTCTGATTACTCATATTATGACGAACTCAAAAGATAGGTTGTGTCAACCTTGTCTGTCTTTCTTGTTTGTTACTCTCAGACTATTTCCCTCTACTGCATAATGTCTGTATTTTGAAATGGACACAATTCAACATGTACAGCTAAAAAGAACAATGCTCCAACTATCCAGGCCAGGTCCATTAGTTTTCAAAGTGCTACTGTCTCAAATGATCGTGAGCATAAAGAGGAAGAGCACATGCTCTGTCTGGATGACTAATTTCAACTCTAAAAGATAGCTAGATTTTCAGGCCTTTTTCAACAAGTGGGAAATTATGAAAACACTGTCTTCAGGGGAAATTATTGGCAGTCTAGATAGAATCTAATGCTGAATCCTGCAGCGACTAAGTCCAACTTATGAAGGGTAGAGCTAGCCCCTTGACGACTTGTAGGTACCAACATGTAATCAAATGATGCTCACAGCAGCCCCTTGTAACAATGAGCATCCTAGAAATCCTACCAACCCACAGACATTAGAAGGAAAATACCACACGCCTCTAGGGAATTCTTTCAGGTTGGAAATGTGTAGTTTCCACAAAACTTGAGAGGGCAGTATATACTGAAGCAAGCTCTTATATGATGCTCATCTCAGAATAGCTGTGGCTGTGGCAGCTGAAGTCATGCAAGAACACTCCTTTCTTTGAATAATAATCCCTCATACCCTTTACCTGTAACACATGAGGCACTGCTTCTAGTAGCTCAATCAGCTTGGAATATCCATAATCTGAAACCCGGCACTGCTTTGCAAAATGGTGATGGTATGAAGGGATGAAATTGCTAATTGGTAGTATACAAGACGGCTGATTCTTCAGTAAATCAATGACTTCTCTGCTGAACTGGATCAGCTGGGGATTACCCACAGGACTTTTAGAACGTAGAAGCCAAGGGTCTAAAGAAGAAAAAAAAAAAAAAAAAAAAACACGGAAGGCCCCAGGCATTATTTCACTGACACAGTGAACATAGTGTGTTCACTGTGCAGCAAGCTGCAGTTTCAAGTTTCAACTTATACACAGGTGCCACAGAACCAAACAACCAGGCCATCTTACTATAGACAGGCAAACCATTCCCCACAATCTTCAAAAGGTGTCAAAGGAAAGCAAGGAGCATGCTAGGGTTATAGCAGAAATGAAGATGAACAAGGATTTCCCAGACTACACTGACTATTATTTCAAAGATCCATTTGTAACTTGACCGTGTAGGTAGTATTTTTCCCCACAGACACATTATAGATGGGCCCCAGGTAGGTGACCCATGAGAATGGAATTAACCAATAAATGGAGCTGAACTATTACCCAGAAAGCTATGGGAGGCAATAATTGGAGCAGGATGGAAAACAGACTCAGAACCATATCTATCTACCTACTTCCTTCCTGAGAGAGTCTCACTATGGAGCCCTAGCAGGACTGGACCACCTAATGAAGAACAAACTCAAAGCAAGCCTCCCATCTCCTAAATGCAATAATAAACAGGTCTGCACTATTAGAGTTTTGCACTCTCAAGTGCTCACACCTCATAAAAGCTTTAAACAAAAAACATGCATCCCCACAACCCCCCCCCAAAAAAAAAAATCAACCGAAGTTGAGCAGAATAATGGCAAATGGTCTCAGTCTCAGCATTGGGGCAAGGGAGGTTAAAGCAAGAGGATCAATGAGTTCAAGACAAGACACTATCTCCAATAATAATACAATAATATAAAAACTAAAAATAAAAAATACTATAATAATAAAACAATAATACAAAAACTAAAATTCAAAAACAAACAAACAAAAAAAATCAGACAAAAATCTTTACAGAAGTAAAACAGATTTGTGAGCTCATGGCCCAAATGGGTCCTATGCAGCTCAAGACTGAGGAGAGAAAACGGGTTCAGGAAGGAGCTTCTACAGAGCAGCTGACTCAGGCTCCCAGTTACCCTCTCACTTTTCCTGCACAGGAAACACAGGTACAAGCCTAAGAAGGAAGACACATCAGGGCCAAAGAGAAGGAAGAGTGTGTGTGCACGCACTCGTGGCATGGCATAGCTTCTGGAAGCTGGTTCTCTCCTTTCACATGTGGTCCTGATGCTCAAACTCAGGCTGACAGGCTTCATGGCAGGTGCCTTACTCTCTGAGCCATCTTTCTAGCCCAATGCTGGTATCTTCAAAAGTCAGATTCTACCAATCCCTTAGCATTTGGGGAATTTTAATATCAGAGGAAACACTTTGGAGAAAATGGTGCTCCTGTGTGAAATCAAAGCCACAACTTCCTCCTGGCCTCCCTGGAGATAGGCAGGAGCTTAAGCTTTAATTCCTAATATCTGCCAACCTACCAGTGTTGGGAGGTGGGGGCTTGTTATGAATCCACTTCACTACTTTGACACCATTCTGAGCAGTAGCGATGTTCACTCCTGGAATGCAGGTGATGAAATGCTCTAAAGGGACACCCCTGGGGCTTCCTTGCATGATTTCTAGATCACCAAACTCTGCAGCATAGCAATCTGGAAAGCTGAAGAGGGGAAAGGTTAAATAAAAATAATGGAAAAGGGAATGCAGGCTAACAGCAGGATTTATTCTGTATTTGTTGAGAAATAATGGCTGTAGTACTGGCCTCTGTGACACATTCTAACAGCTCTAGAAATCTCTGGGCAGTGTTCAGTAATAAGTTAGATAAAGCACTATAGGTTGGTTGCCCAGGCCACAAAGACTGGAATTGGCCTTTGTCTATGGCCCAGTGTACTCTGATGAATGATCCCCTCTAAAGCCTTGGAACCTGAACACAGATGAAATGATGTACTCTACTGGAACTTGTCCGAGTTTTCAATTTGGATGCACCTCTGCCCTGCAGAGAAGAAACTGTCCTCATGTTTGTTTGTGAAATTAAATATAAAGGCAGTTTCTTGTTGAAATACTGAGTGCATGAATCCATTTCTCAAAGCTTGAATCCCAGGACAGAGCCCTATTTTTTCTTTTTCTTCTTTTGTTTGTTTTTTTTTTTTTAAATCTATCCAATTCTTTTATTGTTGGTCTGCATTTTATTTATTTATTTATTTATTTTTTACACAGAGCCCTATTTCTAATCCTTCACTCAGTAATTAGGCAGACTGTGGGAATGACCTTACAACACTCTACTCCCAATGGCTATCATGGCTCACCTTAACAAAGGCACGGTGCCCTCATGGGTCTGGAGAAGACTATGAACTTGAGGTGCAAACACTTTCAAAGAGAGGACCACAAAAGGGATCTTGTAGGAGTCTGGATCAAATTCGTGTTCACTGCAGGAAAGACAGCAAGCAGTGAGCTGACACTTCTCAGGAGTGCAAAGCACCCCTGCTCACACTCTCTGGAGGATGCTGATGTACCTGAAGTCCTTGTTAGAGCAGTGCTGCCTGCAGACAGGTTCATGATACTCCAACTCTTCAAACAGAACTGGGCTGCAGTTAGTGGAGGAGCCATCATGTGACTGGGAAGAGCCCAGGGGGCTCTGGCGGGCCTGGCTGCTGGGTAAAAGGCACACCAGCCGCCCGTTTCCCTGTTCACGGATTGCAATCGTGTCTGTTAATTTATATAAATCAGACACATTTAACTTGTGTCCATACCTAAGAACAGGAAAGAGAGGTTGTCTTAGAATTGGAACTCAGAACCTCTGGAAGAACCAGTAAGTGCTCTTAGCCTCCATCTCTCCAGTCCTAGATTTTTTTTTTTTTTTTTTTTAATGTAGAAACACCTGACCGGTTTAAATAAAGCAGCATAGGATGGCTTCCCCATCTGCCTAAGAGTGCCATGAAACTACTGGGCTCATTTGCAGCCATGTGGCTCCCTGCCAGCTATAACAGCACTCTCATTGGATAGCCCCTTCCCATGTCAATGCTCTTAAGTGTCTAAGATGTAAGTTCTCTCAACACGTGTCACCCATACACAATGCCCTTTAGAGTACACTCCTTTCAAGAGATGTTCTCACCCACGCTGTCCTCCACTGTGGACCACTGTCCTCTACACCTCTACTCCTCGTGCTGTCTTTAAAACGCTGTGATAACTTGTACCTCATGGTGCTGAATGAGGACAGAGTGTGATTAGGCATGGGTGGGGCTTGGCCTGAGTACTAGCAATTCCTTCCTACCTCTCCAGGTTCCAATGCTAGTTCCCTACATCCATCAGGCTTCTTCCCTACCAACACCAATCCCTGGGGTCTCCCCACATGGGGAGATACCCATTATCTCTGTGCTCTCATTCTTTGGAGTTACTTTGGAGTGAAAATAACTGATCTCTCAGGAATAACATTTGCTCAGACTCCAAACCCCTTCCCTCCTGATGCTATGTCACCAGTTGCCTCCAAACCTTACCCTGCTTCCTCAGGCCCCTGAGATGCCCTGTGTCTGGCATTTTGTCTTTCCACATACGTTCCTTACCCCACCATCCTCATCCTTGGGACCTCGCTTGTTTCCCTGGCCTTCCATCCTCTCTCCTACCTCTTCTGGCCCTATCTGCTTCCCTGCCCATCACAATGCCTCTTCAGCAAATAGCAGCCAACATCTCTCACAGAGCCTCCAAAACAGCACTCCAATTCTCTGTATCAGGCTCCAATGTGCCCAAAACTTTTATGTCCCAGACCTAGCACTTACTGTGCCCCCACTCAAGCTTCATGACTCTGCTTCCTGTTTAACTGTCCCATCATGTTCCCAGATCAAATGTTTTTCACCTTTTATCTTACCATCTTGCTTCCTACCCAATACTAATCATCTGCTCCTGATCCAAAGGCACTTAAATTTCCTTCATCTTTTAAAAAAGATATCATTTGATGTGTACACATGTTTTGCTTACATATATGCCTATTCCCCACATGTGTGCAATACCCTTAGCGACCAGAAAAGGGCTTCAGATCCACTGGAGATAGTTATAGGTGGATGTGAGCCGTCAAGTGGGTGCTAGGAATTAGATCTGGGTCCACTGCAAGAGCAGCCAGTGCTCCTCCTACCTGCTGAGCTCTATCTCTAGCCCAGTGCTTCTCACCCTTCCTAACTCTGTGATACTTTAATACAGTTCCTCATGTGGTGACCCCAGCCCAGCATAAGTTATTTTTGTTGCTACTTCATAACTTAACTTTGCTACTGTTATGAATAATATGAATATCTAATATGCAGGATATCTAATATTTACCCTGTGAAAGGACTGCCCTTCAAAGAGATTGCTAACCACAAGTTGACAACCTCAACTCTGCACCCATCCCTCCGTCCATTTATTTAGTTTTTGGGAGAATATCTCATGTCTGGCCTTTGCATAGCTGAGTATGTCTTAAGAGACTTAAAATATCCGTGGCACACAGATTCTCAAAGCCCAATTGCATCAACACAGAATTGGGCCCAGTGCAGAACTTTCCCTCGTTTCTTCTCCTTGAAGATGGCTCTGACCACCATACATCTGTTCCCCTATTCCTCCATGCATGCAATAGCTCATTACTCGTGGAGTAACTGCCACAACCCCTGTGCTGCCTTCCTTTGGATCTCTGAAGCATTCTCTCTCCCTGAACCTCCTTTTCACTGACATTCCCTTTGATACACAGAAGAATTTGTGAGATTTTTTTCCTTCCTTCTAACAAACTCTTTGGGTACAGAACCACACCCTTTGCAAATCTGTATTTCTCCAATGCCTCAGCTTTTCATAATGCTTGCTGTGCACTGGACAATGAAGACTCTAGTAGTCCCTGTCTAAAGTACAGAGCAAGCTCACAAATACCATTCGAAGAGTAATAAAACTAGTTAGTAAAACAAAAAAGCTTAGCTTTGAAAACTGTGGTGGTTTAAATGAAAATGGCCCCGACAGGCTCATAGGGAATGGCACTATTAGGAGAGGTGGCCTTGTTGAAGGAAGTCTATCAATTGGGGGTAAGGCTTTGAGGTTTCAGAAGTTCGAGCCAGGCCCAGTCTGTCTGTCTCTGTCTCTCTCCCTCCCGCCTCCTCCCTCCCCCATCTCTTCCTCTCTCTCTGTCTCTGTCTCCCTCCCCCTTTCTCCCTCCATCCCTCTCCCCTCTGCCTGTGGATCTAGATGTAGAACTCTCAGCTCCTTCTCCAGCATCATGCCTGCATATGTGTCACCATGCTTCCTACCATGAAAATAATGGACTACATCTCTAGAACTTCTAGAACTGTAAGCCAGCCTGTAATTGAATGCTTTTTTTCCCCCTAAGAATTGCTTTGGCCATAGTGTCTCTTCACAGCAATAAACAGAAATTTGACTCTAAATTTGCTTAAAAAATTAAATAAAAAAAAAGCATTTGATTCAAATTGACAATCAGATTAGCACTATATCTGTGAGAAGTCCCTTCAGGATGAGCATAATAGTTTTTTCCATGAAGTCACCAATCACTGCTGACTATATCAATAGAATAATAAGCAGAACTTACTTCTTTTCATAGATGTCTATAAATTTAAAGAGAGGCAAACAACAGGCAGGTGCATCCTGAAGAACAGACATTGTTTCTGCACTGTAGGATAAAAGTCATGAGTTAGAAAAGGAACTACTCCTGTATATTACAAAGTGTGTGTGTGTGTGTGTGTGTGTGTATTTTTTTTTTTTTTTATTCCAGTTTCTCAAGAGACAGTGTTTCTGTGTGTAGCCCTGGAACTCCTTCTGTAGATCAGGTTGACCTCAAACTCAAAGAGATCCTCATGCCTTTATCCCAATTGCTAAGATTAAAGGTGAGGCCGCGCAGCCAAAGTATGTTTTTTAAAGGTTCATAAAATTAACACAATGCACATGCAGAGTAAACTTTCTAGTTTCTGATATGTCAGAGTTTGCTTTTCAGAGAAGTTAAAAAGAAAATAAAAAGGATTTTAGAGACAAGCCAATAAAAGATTATCAAGTCAGTCCCTGGGATTCCCTAGTACTTAGTAACATGACGTCCCACATCAGTGCAGGAGAAAGACATGTGGTCTCCTGAGGACAGGGCAGGGGCACACACTAGGTTTTCACTCAAATTGAAGGCAGAACAGCTTGAATTATCTCTTGCCATGTGTGGGTTATATATTAGATGTATGGGACTGGAATTCCTGCAAGTGATTGGACATGTATCTGCACACAATATCATCTTCATCATTCTTTACCAAAAACATACCAAAAATACTCATGATTAGCATGTAGCCACAGGATTAGAGGACTTTCCTCCATTTCTCTTATTTCCCAAAACACTGCAAAACCTGAGTATTATTTTATTATAAAGAAAACAAAACAAAACAAACAAACATCAAAAAAAAATCTTCACAACTTCAAATACTGTCCAAGTACAAATCAGAGAGAAGGCCCTTGATATCCAGCACTCAGAGTGAATTCTATTTCACTAGCTCCTCATAGTGGGAGAGCCAAAGCAGCACGAAGACTTGCTACAAACAGTCCCAAGAGCTCACACTGACCAGTCATCATTGAGACTGCACTAGGATCCCAGCCAGGATTTACCCTTTTCTGGCTTCTGAGCGTTACTGTAGGGGTCTATTAGTCCTAGAACCTGTTCTGGGCATGCAGTGTGCTACTTCACTCCCAAGGGCCTGCCAAGTTCAAGCTGTGTTTGGCTTTTAGATAACAACTTGAACAAGAGCCAGAGGGCAGATTTCAAGCCCTATCAATTCACAATAACCTTTATTGTATACAGGAGGGCTAAAAATGTGATAAACCTATTTATTATTTTCCAAACTATTTGTGGGTCAGTTGTTATGTCCTGAAGGGAACGGCTTAAATGCTGTTTTTTACCTTAGTAAAGAGAGTGACTTGTTGGCAGCTCCTGTGGACAGTGAGACCAGAATCTTCTTGCTGCCAATTTTATGCCTATGGAGGCTGTTCACTGCACAGATTGCTTCTTGCAGGTTTCCCATCTGCACAATGGCCTTGAGCTGGTAATCGGTATGGGGACTGAGCTCAACACTCTTGACCTACAACAGGACAAAATAAAACAGCTCTACCAGGATCTACCCAGAAACCTGTCATCTTCAAAAATGAGAATGAACTGTTAGGGAATATGTTAATAGATGTCAGGGCCTGCAAGAGGTAACTTGTCTGAATGAGGTACTGCAGGTGATCTGAGTGTAGGTGCTCTTAGCCTGGCCAGTCTGCCTGTATGCTCTGGCACATATAACTCAGACGCAGACTCAGAGACCAGGGTTTCTCTGACTCTCCAAAATACCAGGTCTATAAAAGGTACATTTTTTAGCAAACTGCACCGAAACACTGGGCTGGATATATTAAAATATAATAAGTAATAGCCAACAATTCCTTAAACCAGTGGTTCTCCAAATCCCTTTGGAGGACAAACTACCCTTTCACAGGGGTTGCATGTCAGATTATTTACATTACAATTCATAGCAGTAGCAAATTTACAGTTATGAAGTAGCAATAAGTAATTTTATGGTTGGGGTCACCACAACATGAGGAACTGTTTTAAAGGGTTACAGCATTAGGAAAGTTGAGAACTACTGCTTTAGATTTTTTTTTTTTTTTTTTTTTTTTTTTGTATTTCTGGATGTAGTTCTTAGTAAGTCCCTCTATCTATGACAGGCACTTCTCATGACTAGCTTCATTTTCTCTGGGGTGATGTCCTAAAAACTGTGCGTTCTATACTTCTTACAATACACAGAAGGGAAAAGGAGTTCAAACCTGCCCAACCATTCCTATGTCCTAGCTGAGGTTGTGTGACCCATTTGGCCCCCTGGTACCACCAGGGGTAAGCCCAGCAAGAACAGGAGTGAAAGGGGGGTTGGGGAGGAACAGCTCAGCAGTTAAGAGCCTACATCTATTACTCTTCCAGAAGACCAGAGTTCAGGCAAAGCATTCACACTGGGCAACTTAAAACCTCCAGAAACATTAGCTCCAAAAGACCTGACACCTCTGGCACCCACACGTATGTGCACAATACCCACACACAGATACACACACATCCACATAATTAATTTAAAAATACATCTTTAAAAAAATTAAAGAATGAAGCTGGGTATTGTGGCTTATGCCTTTAATCACATCAACTGGGAGACTGAAACAGAAGGATCTGGTCTTAAAAATGTGACCCACTCCCAAAAAATCCAAACCAATAACCCTAATAACAAGAGTGAATGTACCTGGCCATGCCTGGAAAAGGCCTCCTGGAGGAGCTGCTGCAGCTCCTTCCGGGACAGCCTGTAATCCACATTGCTGACCTGGATGTCAACACCATTTGCAAATGGGTCTGGGCAGTCAGCACCGATGCTGGGATTGGCAACACTGAAAGCAAGTGGCGAGGCTCTGTTTAAAAGATTTGGAGACATACTCCTGCAGAAAACACAGATGTGAACAGTTCAATGCACCAGGTTTAGCCAGTTCAGCTCTGTCTGAAACTACAGATAAAAGATTTTCCTATTTGATTTTGCAATGGATTTTATCTTAAACCTATGCTAATTTAGGTTTCCTGTTCTAAAGTACTATGAGCTGACTTCAATAAAAATTATTTAATCTCAAATCTTATTTCACAGAAACAGTTAAAGAAAAGGAGGAAATTTTGGAAGCCTTGCTCAACTAAAATTTCACTCCGGGCATTTTAGTCTTACAAACTTAGCCTCTAATGCTTATGTTAAGGTTTAACCTCCCCTGACTTACAGGGCCTACTATCAAGCGTAAGGCAGGCTCTGGTGTCAATTGTTACATGAAAGTATACATTACTTTCTGCAGTGATTTTTTTTTTATTATTTTTATTTTTTCTGAGATAAAGTCTAGTTATAAGGCTCTTGCTGTACTAAAATTCACTATGTAGAACAGTTGAACTCAATCTCATAGACATCTAAGATCACTGCTGGGATAAAGGTGGATGCCACTGTGCTCGGCTTTTCCAGTGATTCTTCACCAGCCATGCACAACAAATGCAATGTAAAAACAGGCCTTTATGGCAGACAGCAGCCTCCTACAAGCACCATATTAAGAGCAGCCAAAGCACATCTCAATTTGGCTTCCCTTAACACAAAGAGTGTAAGATACTGTGTATCTACTTGGTTATTTGTATTCAACATCTTGCCAAGTTAACACAGGCTGGCCTTGAACTCACTATGCAACCCAAGCTCATGATTCTCTTGCCTCGGCTTCCCAAATGCGGGGAACATGGACATGTGACACTATACCTAACCATAAGGACATCTTAACATCCTTCCCTGTTGACATGGAGTTACCCAGATTTCCAAATGGAGGAGGAAAGCTTTGCATCTGAATGTCAACTATGGTAACCTGCAGGGAGGCTCTGGCAGGGAGATGGCAGACCTGTCTCAACAACTAAGACAGTGACCTGTAACCCTCCAGCTGCATATCCACCCCATAGGCACAAAGGCTGGACTCACCTCGGAGACCAAGACTGAGAGGTGAGCAGAGGGCTGACTTGCCTTGAGGCAATCAGTTTGCTGAATGCAGATGGATAGCTCACTTGGAAGACAGTCTCCTCTCTCTCCTTCTCTACAGGAGAGCTGGAAACACTCCGGGAACTGAGGTTCTCTTTTCTAACAGGAGGGAGAATTTGAGAATAAACGTCACAGGTCTCCCATAATTTCACAGAAACAGCTACCGAGAAAGAAAAACTGGACATACTTCTGACTGTTTCTGTAAAGTGGCTCTGTCACGCCTGTGTTCTTCAGCGTGGGCACTGAAGTGCTTAGGCCACCATTAGGTAATGCTGCCAACCTCCCATGGCCTTGCTGCTGCTCACTGTTTCTGCTGCCAGTCTTTGACTCCATCCGGCACAGCTCCTTTAAAGACACAAGTGCAGTGGCCTTAGATCCTAAGTACCTCAGATGGGTTACATCCTATACCAAGAGTAAAATGCCCAAGTCCCAGCAAAAACTAAAATCAGAGGACACACAGAAACCAAATCTACCATACACTTCAAAAAGCAAGTGAGATCAAAATTACCTGTAAACTTTTAATGTTTGTGGTTTTTGTAGCAGATACAGAATGTGCCTGTAACCCTTTTCCAGGCATGGCTTTGGCACTGGGTGACTGTTCACTTGTGTCTTTGATGAGGCATAATTTTGTGTTCTTAACTTTTTTTGGAGACTTTGCTTTATCAGCAATTGCATTTGAACTCTTGGTTTCAAGGAATTCTCTATGTTTTGGAGTAAATGACACAATGATCCTGTTACCAAAGACATCTTCATTTTCCATTCGCTTCTGGGCGCGCTCTGCACTGTCTTGGTTTATGAAGCGGAGAATTGCACTGCAGCCTGTGATACTCAGCACTTTGCCACCACAGTTATCAGACAGGCGCCTAAGCCTGTTGCTGATGCTCTTGCCGTCTTTATTTGCTGGTAGGTTATAAACATAGAGCAGAGTGTGGCACTGTAAGCACAGGGGGAAAATGTTACTTTAGGTTTAGCCAAAAGGATATATTCAATTCAAGACAAGAACAAGTACTGTCTCCACTTCAGCTAATTCACAGAAGAGGTAGGGACAGCAACTTTGACTGGAAAGGGTAAATCTATTCAGTATAGCTGAATGTTGTTTCCAATAATCAGCTGGGCACAGATATACTAAGTGATTCTGTTTCTATACAATGTTCAGAAAAGACCAACCTAGAGACCAGTGATCAGCTGCCTGGGGTGAAAAGGGAACCACCACCAAGTGGCAGATATCACATGGAAACCATTTTAAACTGCAAGTACAGCTAAGTAAAATTAAAAACTAATGAGATGTATGTACATGTCGGACAACATCCTGTTATTCTGTGGTCAGAAACTTTCCAGATATCCTGGAATGTATGTATCAAGAAACAGGGCCAAGGGCCAAGATCCAGATGTTGGTGGCTCACACCTTTAAGCCCAGCACTTGGGAGGCAGAGGCAGACGGATCTCTCAGTGAGTCTGAGGCCAGCCTGGTCTACAAAGAAGAGTTCCAGGACTGCCAGGAGTGTTCCACAGAGAAACCCTGTCCTAAAAGAAAGAGAGAGAGAGAGAGAGAGAGAGAGAGAGAGAGAGAGAGAGAGAGAGAGAGAGAGAGAGAGAAAGGAACAGAGACACACAGAGAGAGAGAGAGATAGGGCTAGGTGGGGGTTGTGCGAGCCAGGCAGATCTCTGAGTTTGAGACCAGCCTCATCTACAGGGCAAGTTCCACAAGACAGCTAGAGCTACAGAGAAATCCTGTCCTGAAAAAACTGGAAATATATAAACAAAGACAGAACTGCAGGTTGGGAATTTAGCACAGTGGTAGAGTACTTGCCTAGAAAGCATAAGGCCCTGGGTTTGGTCCTCAGTTCCAAAAAAAAGTGAAACAGAACTGTGAAAATGCTAGGAGAATAAAGATAATTATGGAGAGGGCTAAATCTGGGAGCCACAGAAAAAAATCTTCAAGGGCAACAGCAAAATAAAGAGATTTGCTAAAAAGGGGTCTGTAAGAAGTCCAACCACAAGCAGATAGCATGTATTACCTGTCACACTGGCAAACCTTTTAAAAAGCATTCTCACTAATAAGAGTAGGAAGAGACACTGCTCAATGACAATAATAATCAATGTCACCTTCTTGGAAGACAAGTAAGACCTTGCCAGTGACAACGTACCCTGCGTGAGCTGCTGGAGATGGTAAAAACTGAGAAAGATGATGTCTAATAATAGGCAGACTGCTTAAACAAATCAAAGGCCAGCCATAGACATGCTGTCAGTTAGCATTCTTCTTGGTTTGTTTATTCATTCTGTTTTGAGATGGGGTTTCTCTGCGTAGCCCTAGCAGTCTTGGAACTCATTCTGTAGACCAAGCTGGCCTCAAACTCAGAGATCTGCCTGTTTTTGCTTCCTGGGATTAAAGGGGTGCACCACCAGTGACTTATTTTATCAGTCAGCATTCCAATGGCTAAAATTACCAGCAATTTGTCCACATGGAACTATACCCAAGTTATGATACTAAGTTAAAAAAAGACATGTAACTTTACAATTTTTATATAGTTTTAACATGTGGAGAACAATGCTGAACTATAAACAGTGGTCCCCTTCAGGGTAGGACTGAGATTTTGTACTCATGAATTCATTTCTGTATGCTGTTTTGGTTTTATGATGACATTACTTTTGTAATTGGGAACTTCCTCTTTACATGAGTTATGTTAATTAATCATGAATAAAATCTCTTCTTCCTATGACACCTAAAAATCAAATCCAGGCAAACACAACTTACTAAAGGGCTGGGATAAAGAACGGGGGGGGGGGGGGGGGGGGGAGAAACTGTCATTACCATTTTAGTAAATGAGAAAGCATCCCACACAACCACACAACTCCATGTTCAGAATAATTGATCTTTTTTTTTTTTTAACCATAACACCTCTTATATGGGCAAGCTCTCTGCCAAAATATCCCAACTAATTTAATGACATTTCCAGTTAGAAAGCACAAGACAGATAAAGAAGGAAGGTAATGCAGCTCCAGCCACAGGTCCCCAAAACAAGTACGGTGAGAGAAGTCTCAAAGGGCTGTGGTAGGCTGTGATGCTAATCCTTGAACCAGAGTCTGCAACCCCCAACTGTGAATCATCCCTCACATGATTTTAACTAGGGCAGACCCTGAGCCTACAGGCAACTGGGACTAGGGGCTGGGCTGGAAGACCGGAGCCCAGCCTCTGCTTTGCTGTGGTTACCAAGCTGCCTCTTTCCTAAGCACTAATTTCTACCTCCTTCTGTGGGAACTAGATGCTATCTTTTCTCCTTGTTTTTGATAGGGTCTCACTAATGCACCCCTGGCTGGCCAGGAGTTATACAGCCCAGATTGACCTGGAACTTTTGACATCCCTACTGCTAACTTCTAAATGCTAAGGTTACAGACATATATCACAAGTACTGGGTTGGACTGGGTCATTTATAAAATACACTTGCAACTGTAAAGTTATTAAATAATATGATAAAATACATTTAATGTATGGGGATGTCATCCACCTGGAACACCCACACTGGAGGTCCTTTCCACCGTTCAAATTTCCTTCAGAGTTACATATGCATTCCCCAAACAGTGTACACTTAGCTCATCACTGTGGCAATCACCATTATCCCAAATCAAGTCTAACAGAAATGCTGCTCCTGTATGTATGGTCTGCAACATCCAATGCAGGCATGCATGACAAGAAACACACTGAAGTTCTCAACCTGTGGATCAGGACATATCTAATGGACTAATGCTCTGAAACTGTAAGCAACCCCTCAATAAAATCTTTTATAAGAGTTGGCTGGGTGACCCTTGGTCCTGCTGGGCCCACTGCTTGGGATGAACACTGGGCCATAGTGTGGGTCCAACACCCCCTCCACCTCCATGGAACTTCCAGAGTCTGCTCTGAGCATGCTGGACCTGCCTATCCATGAGGGACAACCTTGAGGCCTCATTCACCTGATCTTTGGGGCCCATTGCCTGCCCTCTGTTGGAGAGCCCTCTGCAAGAGAGCTCGGATCATCCAGAGTTACAGACATCAAACTCCTGACCCACCTACACCCACCGGGAGAGCAGGGTAGAGAGAGAGAGACTCCACCTGCACCCACTGGAAGAAGCAATGGGAAGACAGCAATACACAAAAATACCTAATAATAGAAAGACCAGTATGACATCAGCAGAATCTAGGGACTCTACATCAACTAGACCTGAACATACCAAAGCAGATGAAGCAGAAGAGAACCACTTAAAAAATAACTTCATAAAAATGATAGAGGCCCTCAGAGATGATATGAGAAAATCCCTTAAAGAAACAGAAGAAAAAACAAACAAAAAATTGGAAGAGAGGAAAAGACCAAACAAAAAATACAAGAGATGAATAAATTTCTTAAAGAAAGTAAGGAAAGCCAAGAAAAAACAAATAGATGAAGGAAACAATTCAAATAGTTCAAGACCTGAAAACTGAAATAGAGACAATAAAGAAAACACAAACTGAGGGAATGCTGGAAATAGAAAAACTGGGTAAACGATCAGGAACTACAGAAGCAAGCATAACCAGTAGATACAAGAGAATCTCAGGCGCAAAGATAAACTAGAAGAAATAGATTCATTGACCAAAGAAAATCTTAAATCCAACAAATCCTTAACACAAAACATCCAGGAAATGTGGGACAACGTGAAAAGACCAAACCTAAGAATAAAAGGCATAGAAGAAGGTGAAGAAGCCCAGCTCAAAGGTGCAGAAAACATATTTAACAAAATCATTGAAGAAAACTTTCCCAATCTGAAGAAGGACATGCCCATGAAAATACAAGAAGCATACTGAACAACACCAAATAGACTGAACTAAAAAAAAAGTTCCCTCGCCACATAATAATCAAAACACCTAACATGCAGAATAAAGAAAGAATATAAGAGCAGCGAAGGAAAAATGCCAGGTAACATATAAAGGCAGACCTATCAAAATTACACCTGACTTCTTCATGGAAACTCTCAAGGTCAGAAGGTCCTGGATAGATGTTCAACAAATACTAAGAATCCACAAATGCCAGTCCAGGCTGCTATACCCAGAAAAACTCCCCATCACTATAGATGGAGAAAAGAAGATATTCAATGACAAAGCCAGATTTTCACAATACTTATCCACAAATCCAGCCCTACAGAAAGTTCTGAAAGGAAAACTCCAACTCAAGGAAATTAACTACACTCACAAAGACATAGGCAATAGATATTCCCAATTTACCAGAACCCAAAAGAAAAAGCAGGGCAAATATACTCACAATACCATTGCCAACAACAAATCTAAAACAAGAATTAACAATCAATGATCCTTACTTTCCCTCAATAATAATGGTCTTAACTCACCTATAAAAAGACACAGGCTAACAGAATGGATACGAAACCAGAATCCATCCTTTTGCTGCATACAAGAAACACATCTAAGCTTCAAAGATAAACATTACCTCAGGTTAAGGGATTGGGAAAAGATCTTCTATTCAAATGGACCCAAGAAGCAAGCAGGTGTGGCTATCCTAATATCTAACAAGTTGGACTTCAAACCAAAATCAATCAAAAGACACGAAGAGGGTCATTTCATATTCATCACAGGAGAAATCCATCAGTACAAAGTCTCAATTCTGAACATCTATACAAAGGCACCTACATTTGTAAAAGAAATGTTACTAAAACTCAAACCTCACATAAAACCTCACACACTCATAGTGGGAGACCTCAACACCCCACCCTCACCACTAGACAGGACCATCAGGCAGAAACTTAACAAAGAACAAAAGAACTAACAGAAGTTATGTCCCAGTTGGGTTTAACAGACATCTATAGAAGATTCCATCCAAACACAGAAGAATATGTTCTTCTCAGCTCCACATGGAACCTTCTCTAAAATCGACCACATACCAGGAAACATAACAACAGATACAAAAAAATTGGTATAGCCCCCTGTATCCTATCAGACCAGCATGCTTTAAAGTTGGAATTCAACAACACAAATTGCAGAAACCCTACAAACTCATGGAAACTGAACAATTCCTGTGTCAAGGAAGAAATAAAGAAATTAAAGATTTCCGAGAAAGCAATGAGAATGAAGACACAACATACCTGAACTTATGGGACACTTTGAAAGCAGTGCTATGAGGAGAGTTCATTGCACTAAGTGCCCATATGAAGAAAACTGAGGATAGTCACATTAACAGCACAACTGAAAGCCCTAGAACAAAAAGAAGCAAACTCACCCCGGAGAAGTGGAAGCCAGGAAATAATCAATTTGAGGGCTGAAATCAATAAAGTAGAAACTAAGAAAACAATACAAAGAATCAATGTAACAAAGAGTTCCTTCTTCGAGAAAATGAACAAGATAGACAAACTTTTATCCAAACTAACCAAAAACCTGAGAATTTTGAGGTCATACTCTGAAAACCTGTACGCCACAAAATTTGAAAATTCAAAGGAAATGGACAAATTTCTGGATAGCTATCACTTACCAAAATTAAATCAAGAACAGATAAGCAATTTAAATAGACCAATAACCTGTAATGAAATAGAAGCAGTCATCAAAAGCCTCCCAACCAAAAAAGCCCAGGGCCAGATGGCTTCAGTGCAGAAATCTACCAGAAATTTAAACAAGAGCTAATACCAATACTCCTCAAATTGTTCCACACAATAGAAGCAGAAGGTTCATTACCAAACTCTTTTTGCGAGGCTACAATTACCTTGGTACCCAAGCCACACAAAGACACAACTAACAAAGAGAACTATAGACCAATATCCCTCATGAATATTGATGCAAAAATACTCAGTAAAATACTAGCAAATCAAATCCAAGAACACATCAGAGAAATCATCCACCATGACCAAGTAGGCTTCATCCCAGGGATGCAGGGATGGTTCAACATATGAAAATCTATCAATGTGATCCACCATATAAACAAACTGAAAAAGAAAAATCATGATCATCTCACTAGATGCTGAAAAAGCCTTTGACAAAATACAACACCCTTTCATGAAAAAGGTCTTGGAGAGATCAGGGAGAACAGGAACATACCTAAACATAATAAAAGCAATATACAGTAAACCAACAGACAACATCAAACTGAATGGAGAGAAGCTTTAAGGCAATTCACTAAAATCAGGAACAAGACAAGGCTGCCCATTCTCTCCATATCTCTTCAATATTGTACTTGAAGTTCTAGCTAAAGCAGTAAGACAACAAAAGGAGATCCAGGGATACAAATTGGAAAGGAAGAAGTCAAACTGTCACTATTTGCAGATGATATGATAGTTTACATAAGTGACCCGAAAAACTCTACCAGGGAACTCCTACAGCTGATAAACACCTTCAGCAAATTAGCAGGATACAAGATTAACTCAAAAAAATCAGTAGTCCTACTATATGCAGATTATAAAGGGGATGAGAAAGAAATCAGAGAAACATCACCCTTTTCAATAGCCACAAACAACATAAAGTAACTTGGGGTAACGTTAACCAAACAAGTGAAAGATCTACATAACAAGAACTTTGTGTCTTTAAAGAAAGAAATTAAAGAAGATATCAGAAAATGGAAAGATCTCCCATACTCTAGGATATGTAGGATAAGCATAGTAAAAATGGTAATCTTGCCAAAAGCAATCTACAGATTCAATGCAATCCCCAGCAAAATCCCAGCACAATTCTTCACTGACCTTGAAAGGATAATACTCAAGTTTACATGAAAAAAACAAAAGACCCAGGATAGCTAAAACAACCCTGTACAATAAAGGAACTTCAGGAGACTTCACCATTCCTGACTTCAAGCTCAACTATAGAGCTATAGTCCTGAAAACAGCTTGGTACTGGCACAAAAATAGATAGGTAGACCAATGGAATCGAATGGAAAATCCTGATATTAACCCAAACACCTACGAACACCTGATTTTTGACCAAACAGCTAAAATTATACAATGGAAGGAGGAAAGCATATTCAACAAATGATTCTGGCACAATTGGATAATGGTGTGTAGAAGACTGCAGATAGACCCATGTCTATTGTCATGCACAAAACTCAAGTCCAAATGGATCAGAGGCCTCAACATAAATCCAGCCACACTGAACCTCTTAGAAGAGAAGAGTGTGAGGTACTCTTGAACAATTGGTACAGGAGACCTCTTCTTGAACATAACACCAGAGTAGCACAGACACTGAGATCAACCAATTAATAAATGGGACCTCCTCAAACTGAGAAGCTTCTGTAAGGCAAAGGACACAGTTGACAAGACCAAACGGCAGCCCACAGACTGGGAAAAGATCTTTACCAACCCCACATCTGACAGAAGGCTGATCTCCAAAATATACAAAGGACTCAAGAAGCTAGTCACCAAAACACCAAATAACCTTATTAAAAAGTGGGGTACAGAATTGAATAGAGGATTCTCAACAGAGGAATTTAAAATGGCTGAAAGACACTTAAGAAAGTGCTCAACATTCTTAGCCACCAGGGAAATGCAAATCAAAACAACTCTGAGATACCATCTTACTCCTGTCAGAATGGCTAAAATTAGAAATACCAATGACAGCTTATGCTGGAAAGGATGTGGAGAAAAGGAAACACTCTTCTACTGCTGGTGGGAGTTCAAACTTGTACAGCCATTTTGGAAATCAGTGTGGCAGTTCCTCAAGAAAATGGCAATCAGTCTACCACAGAACATGGCAATTCTACTCTTAGGCATATACCCAAATGATCCACATCCTTGTAACAAAGATACCTGTTCAACTATGTTCATAGCAGCATTATTTGTAATAGCAAGAATCTGGAAGCAATCTAGATGCCCCTCAACTGAAGATTAAATAAAGAAGATGTGGTACATTTACACAATGGAATACTACTCAGCGAAATAAAATAATAGAATCTTGAAATTCGCAGGCAAATGGATGGAACTTGGAAGAAACCATCCTGAGTGAGGTAACCCAGTCACATAAAGAGGAAGATGGTATGTACTCACTTATATATGGATTTTAGACAGAGCAAAAGATCATAGCCTACAATTCACACCACCAGAGAAACTAGGATACAAGGAGGAATCTAAGAGATTCATACAAGGTCCCTTGCAGAAGGGGAAAGGAACAAGATCTACTGAGCATACTGGGAGTGGGGGGTGGGGCAGTGAGTGGAGAGGGAGTTAGGAGAAAGAAAAGGGGAGGAGAGGAGAACATGTGGGATCAGGAAGATTGAGTCAAGGCATAAATAGATAAGAGCTAAAAGAGATACCATAATAGAGGGAGCCATTATAGGTTTGAAGAGAAAACTGACTCTAGTGAAATGTCCAGAGACCTACAAGAATGACCCCCAACTAACAATCTGAGCAACAGTGGAAAGGCTACTTTAAATGCCCTTTCCTGATAATGAGATTGATAGCTAACTTATATGCCATCATAGACCTCTCATCTAGTAGCTGATGGAAACAGAAGCAGACACCCACAGCTAAACACTGAGCCAAACTCCTGGAATCCAACTGTAGGAGGAAGGAGTGATAAGAAAAGGGGTCAAGGCCAGGCTACAGAAACCCAGAGACTGCTGACCTGAACAAGGGGGAGCTCATGGACCCCCAAACTGACAGCTGGGAAACCAGCATTGGACTGACTCAGATCTCCTGAACATGGGTTTCAGTTAGAAGGCCTGGGCAGTCTAAGGGACCTCTGACAGTGGAACCAGGATGTATCCCTGGTGCACAAAAGGACTTTGGGAGCACATTCCCCATAGAGGGATATTCCCTTAGCCTAGAGGCAGGAGGGAGAACCTAGACCCTACTCCAAATGATTTGACAGATTTTGATGAGCCATCCAGGAAGGCATCACCCTCCCTGTGGAGTTGGGGGGAGGAAGGGGATGGGAGGCAGAGGGAACATGGATTGATATGTAAAATAAGGAAAAAAAGTATATGAAATATATGTATGAAAGAAACACACTGAAAAGCAAAGCCTCTGCAGCCTGCTACAGTTTGGGAAGAAATCACCTGAAAGATGCACAATTGCTCTGATTATCTGTAGCCAGACACACAACAAGTGCATGTGAGTTTTTACCATGTCTCTACTCATAACACCTGAGAGCAAAACAACTCTTCTTCCCCTGTGTTATCCATTTGATATACGTAGCTTTAACCTTCAGGACAATAGCACAAGTGCCTATCTCTGAGACAAAGCCACAAGTTTGTTCTCTAGGCAAATGAGAAAAGCATTAAAAGAAAACTCACCCATTGTCTATTCAAGACAAGAATCTGAGGTTTCCAAGCTTACTTAAAACTCTGACCAATCTCTTACAAAGGATAGTACCCCAGACCTAGTGACCCTTGCTGAGGGCTGTCTCTCAGCCTCTAAAATCTACCACTAGAAACCAGCAAAGGCAGCAGGAACCCACTCACAGGGATCTTCGGTGGTAACCTGGGAGGTAAATCGGAAATGAACTCTTCAAATCTGATCAGCTCATTAGCATGATGCAGCAAGGCTTCAGAGGCTTGGTTTTTATGCACCAAAATGATGTGGAAACCATGCCTATGCCTCAGGTCACTGAGTTCCAATGCAAAATTGACATCAGCTGAAAGAAAAGACAAGTTATTAGAAACACTCCAGAGAAAGCCCCAGACAGCTAGTGACACACCAAGGAGACAGGCAGGCCTGGCTCAGGCTCAGTCACTCTCCTCTTTTTGAACAGGACCACATTTTCTTGTGAAGAATTAATATGGCAGAGTAATCATATCACACACCCAAGCCGTAGCTTCATTTTAATATTAACAAGGATCAGCTCTCAACACATTGGGGAGATGCAAATCTGAAAATAATTCATCTTGATTTTTTTTAAGTTATAATACTGAGGGAGGGGGACCCCTCCCCCCCAAAAAAGACATTTTATTGAATAAACTGGCCCTGCAATATCTCAGAGAACATAAGAGTCAGACTCTTTTTTTTTTTTTTTTTCTTTCTTTCTTTCTTTCTTTCTTTCTTAAATTTCTCAGACAAGTGCTCACTAGGCTGGCCCTGCACTCCTTCTACATACTGAAGGCTACAGGCTGCAGACTTCGCTATTTTCCTAAACAGTTGTCAACAATCATTACTGTATACCCTGTATTCACCTCTCTGTGGTTCTCTGGTTTGTACCTTTCTGGCAGTTCCCATGCAGTGATTGTGGCTGAAACTAGCAGGTGTTTTGACACTTACTTGACACAAGAACCACGGTAGCTGGAGCAGTGTGCGTATTTGCAAACCTTCGAAGGCTCTGACGGAGTTTATCATCAGCAGCATTCTTTGCAGTAGCATTTATGTGAGCAACGGTTACCTGTGATCATTCATCAAAATGGTCATTGAGTAAGACCCGGGGTTAGAAAACTGCCACACACTTGGTCCACATTTTGTTTTGTTTTGTTTTGGTTGGTTGGTTGGTTGGTTTTTGCTTTTTTGAGACAGGGTTTCTCTGTGGCTTTGGAGGCTGTCCTTGAACTAGCTCGTGTAGACTAGACTGGTCTTGAACTCAAAGAGGTCCACCTGCCTCTGCCTCCCAAGTGCTAGGCTTAAAGACGTGCACCACCACCGCTTGGGTCCACATTTTTTTTAAAACAAGGTGTAAGTGTTTAGCCCAGGCTAGCCTTAAACTCTTGATCCTCCTGCCTCAGCCTCCAGAGTTCTGAGATTATAGAAACGCACCACAACACCTGGCCCCTAGTGAATAACACACAAGTAAAAAAGCTCTTCAATTATTGCTGGGAATGGGGAGGTTCCAACTGGCACTCAATAATTTCAGAACTGGTTTTCCATGTAAAAAGTAGAGAAATTATTATCCCATCTCATTTCTAATTGCTTTTGAACTTCTTTTATCCCCCTTTTAAAAAAGAAGAGGGTAAAGAAAATCAAATTCCAAGTCATCAAGCTTTCCATGACACATTCTGTCCACAACCTGCAATGTGGGGTTCATTTTATCACCCACCTAAGTCATCTACTGTCTTCACAAAGCTGTCTCCAAGTCAAAGTGCCTCAACCACATGTAATTTTCATTTGGATTTGATTGTGTGTGTGTATTAGAATATATAATATGTATTTGTATGTTAATATACACATATAATTCTAAGCAGAAATATGGAACAACAATGGCATTATTTTTCTAAGAGCCAAACATTTGGATTCTATCTTTGGCTTTACAGCAGACTTTGAGGTCAGACAGTCTTGACGTAAATTTTGATTCGGAACACTGTGAATGGTGCATGCCTTTAATCTCAGCCCTCAGAAGACAGAGATAGGTAGATCTCTGTGAAGATTAGCCTCATATAAATACCAAGTTCTAGGCCAGCCAGGGCTATCTGGTGGGACTCTGCCTCTAAATAAATAAATAGTTAATTATTCCAGGCCTGTCACTTATTGGTATAAGAAAGTGGTATCCCTTCTTAGAGCCTCAATTTCATCTGTAGACTGCAAATACTACATCCATTCTATATGCCTGGCTCAGAAAGCAGAGATGAAGCTGAAGCAGACAGCACACACAACCACTACAGTGCACAGCACCAAGGTTACAAGAAACATATTGAAAGATCAAATGTGTACATTTAAACAGTCTAGGAAAAACTGTGTGACTTTCATTTGAAAAGCAGCATAAAAACAATGACATCACTAATTCAATCTATAATTGGAATTTTAAACAAAACACCCCAAGTAATCAGGCTGGCTGTGGTGGCACATGCCTTTAAACCCAGCACTCGGGAGGCAGTGGCAGGTAGATCTCTGTGAGTTCAAGGCCAGCCTGTCTACAAAGAAAGTTTCAGGCCAGCCAGGGCTACACAGAGAAACCCTGTCTTAAGGAATGAAAACTTTTTTTTTAAAATATGTATGAGTGCATTGCCTGCATGTGTGTTTGTATACCACATATGTGCCTGGTACATGCAAATACCTGAAGAGGCTGTCAGATGCCTGGAACTGGAGTTACAGATGGTTGTAAGCTACCATGTGGGTTCTGAGAACTGAGCTCCAGTCCTCTGAAAGAGCAGCCAGTGCTCTTAACTGCTGAGCCACTGTACTGCTCCAGCCCTCAGCAGATTACAGCTTTTTTCTTTTTTAAAGATTTGTTTATATATATGGCATGTACACCTGCATGCCAGAAAGGGCATCAGATCTCATTATAGATGGTTGTGAGCTGCCATGTGGTTGCTGAAAATTGAACTCAGGACCTCTAGAAGAGCAGTCAGTGCTCTTAACCTGTGAGCCATCACTCCAAAGAGTACAATACTTAACAAAAATAAATAAATAAAATTGTTTTACCTGGCAATTATTTAGCTCTTGAATAACTTCCTTGTTTTCTTTACTGATGTCGCACACACAGATAAACTCTGCTTCTCTGTGTCCTCTAAAAAACTTCTCACGGATTCTCTGTACAACAGTTGTTGCTGACCGGCCAGAGGGGACTGAGCAATTTTCAATATCCCAGAAAACACCAATAGGGGGGAGGGTCTCCAGCACTTGTCCAGTGACTGCAACTTCTGGTGACCCTTAAGAAATATTAATAGTTCCAGTTACACATAGTGAAAAAGAAAACAGTGAGCTAAAATACAACAGCTAACTATCCACCACTCTAAATAGCAGAAACATTAAATCATTGCTTGCCATTAAGTTTAAGGATAACAACTTTACTGGCCAGCCCGAGAAGCAGCCACAATACCCAAGTGACATACTGAGATCGCTCCTACTTTTTCCCCCCAAGACAGGGTTTCTTTGTGTAGCCCTGGCTGTCCTGGAACTTGCTTGGTAGATCAAGCTGGCCTCAAACTCAAGATCAGCCTTTGCCTCCCAAGTGCTGGAATTTAAAGCTACTCCTACTTTCAATAACAACAAACCTACAAATCAGTAGTGCCAAAACAACTCTATGTTAGCAGTGTGACTTCACCCCCCCCCCCCCCATTGATCCACGATGGTTGTGCAATCGCAACCAGAAAACTAAATGGATAGTGAGGCTCCTAAACCTGCCTCCACTTCAGTGCAGGTCTGGCTGCCTGCTGGGTAAGGAAGAAAGCATTGATGATGCCACCAAAGTGAAACTGGCACTGATTCTCACTGTAAACTACTCTAATACATTATTAACATCTGTTTTAACCTTTCAGAGATGTTTTTAGATGATAAAATATCACAGTAACTATTTTTTAGGAAAATAATTTTGACTTCAAACTCTAAGGTTTCAAGTATTTTTAACAGTCAGCCATTACTAAATTTTTCTAAATACTAAGTATGTCTAGGGAATATTAAGAACCTAAGCTGAGTTCAAGCATGGTGGCACACGCCTTTAATCCCAACACTCAGTAGACAGAGGCAGGTGAATCTCTGTGAGTTCCAGGCATGGATGATCTGTCTATATGAGGGTTCCAGGACAGCCAAGGCTACATAGAAAGACTGTCTCAAAAACATTATAAACTAAACATACAATCTAAGTAGTCCAAGTTTCCTATATCACTTAACTCTCTTTAATACACTCCTCATCTTCCTATATAGATTCTGGCCTCAAACAGTCTCAGCTCAACATAAAAGTCTATAGTCAAAGATCTTTTTTGCCAAATGAGGGAAGACTCACATATACTTCAAAATGCAAATGCACCCTAAGAATCACAAGGAATTTTTTATAGGCAATTAAATACAACATTTATGTCAGATATTGAAAACAACTAAAATGGAGGCTGTACAGAATGGCTCAGTGCTGAGTCAAAAACACTGGCTGCTCTTGCAAAGGATAAGGGTTCAGTTCCCAGCATCCACATGGTGGCTGACAACCTTTAGTATAACTCCAGTTCCAGGAGATCCAGTGCCCTCTTCTAGCCTCCAAAAGCACCAGGCACACATAAGTACACTTACATATATGCATACAAAACATTCAAACACATAAAGTAAAAATAAATAAACCTTTAAAAAAAGACAACTTCAATGCACTTTTTTATGCTACACCATTATTTACCAAAATTTGAAGCAGCTTTGCCTAGACTGGTTGCCAACAACGAGGTCTCCTTCTCCATCCCTTTTGTTCCACAGCCATTACACAGAGGGATAGCTCGAGGTACAGGCTGAGTACTTGGAGGTGGTATATTTGGCCATATTTTAGCAGCATCAATTATACTATTTCTTGCTGGCTGTTTTAACATTTTTTTAAAGGAAGAAGTTTTAGACATATCAATAAAGAACTTAGATTCATATTCAACCAAAAACATCATTCTAAGCTTTTCACCTTCCTACTTGATGACCTCTGATAAATTGTATTTCCAAATAATCTTTATCAGAACTACTAGCTACCAATCCACATTGTCATCTCAAGAAGCAACTTGAAATGATCAGAGACCTGTTCAATTACTCACTCCTTTCCAACCTGGGACATGTATCTGCTATGAAAGAAATCTTACATGTACCTCCCAAAAATGGCAGAAAAACCTTCCTTTGAATACTAGTGTGAACGGGGCCAAGTTTCACAATCCTTATTTTACAGTAAGACAATGTATAGTTACCTTTCTGCCATGAAAGGGCCAATGTATAAGCCAAGTTTAAGTTATAAGAACTCAACCAACCCTGTTCTAGAGAAGGAAGAATCAAATCATGGATTCTGCAAACATGGCTTTCTTGTGACCAGAGGCCCTAAAGCACAAGCTACACATCTAACTATACTGTACTTTTCTGGATGGTCTCCCATTTTACACTTTGCATCTTTCAGTATCAGACAAAGCTATGCTAATAGAGCGTAAGCTACACCATGAAGAATCTTCAACCCCATGCACAGTAAAGGCATGGCAAGGTAAAGCTGTATCTAAATAGAACCTCAAACCTCATTATCTGCCCCCAAGATAAAGAATAAAAGACACATACCTTGTTTAGACAGTCTTCACAGTAAAGTGAGCCCTTTAAACAAACCGAAGGTGCCACATTTAGGTGAAGAGAGTTGGTGCACAAGTGAGGTGTAAGCTCTGACTGGGAAAGGCGATCTTCCAAACGCCCTCGAGCCCCACTTGGGAAATCAGAACAGGGGAAAAGGCCAGCAGAGGAGCAGCCCTGGAGAGTCGGGAACTGATGCAGCTTGTGCATGTTACTGTGACATGACTGGAAATGGAGCTTCCCACAACATGGTAGGTGCTTGCAGGAAGGTAGGTTACTCTCTACAGACATGCTGGGAAAGCCACTCGCAAGGCCCACCAAGTTGTTTCTAGCAGAAGCATTCTGCAGTGAAGACACAGACTGGAAAGCAAACCCTGACCCTACTTGACATGTGACAGTCCTGGTGCTTGGTGAGTCTAAGAGTGAGCCCGCGTGAATCAAGTTTCCAGAACCTCCACTACTGCCACCACCACCATCAAAACGCATGGGCGAAGTGGAGGGTTCATTAGGGCAATGAACACAGCAGCTTACTTTGGGAACAGCTGACAGCTGTACTTTTGGTTGCTGAAGAGAATGAATATCAGGAAGTGGGACTGCTGGGAAAAGTTTAGAGCCAACATGAAGAGGAGATGGTATATCCTTTAACTCCACAGCAGCTTTCTTGTTCTCCATGTACTCTTTCTGAGGAGAGATCAGAACACTTCAGTCAACTTCTGAAGATTACTGTATTTTGTTCTCTCATACAGTACTGCATTAAAAAATGGAAATCAACGTTCAACTCTCTTTACATCACTCAATCATAACTGAACAAATATAACAGCATCCAGCTAAGACCAGGGATGATCTTCAGAGAGGTCTGCAGGAAGGCAACACAGAAACATGCAACTAAAATTAATGCTGTTTGTAAGAATCTAAAGAAAGTTAGGAGGGGGCTCTGTTTACAATTTCAGCAAGCCAGGTTAACCAACCACACCACAGGGATTATAGATAACTTCTTGCTTCAAAGAAAACTGGGGGTAAGCAAACAATGATTTCACAGCATTTCAAGGAAGGTGGTTTATAAGCAGGTAGCTTCCTTTTTTTCAATCGTGTAGGTGTGGAATAAAGAGTTTTAGTGGGGTTCTCTTTAAAGGGGGAGAGTGATATTCTAAACACTATGAATGAGACCAGCCATCTGCTCAAAGTGGCCCAGCTGTGCTGGTGATAGCACTGAGGAAACACCAAAAACTTAATGCAGTTTTTATACTGTGGCCAGTGCAAAGACACAGTGATGAGAAGTATCTATTCTGAGTTCAAAACCCAGCACCACCAAAAAAGGAAAAGAAAGAATATATTTAATATTCACAAAAAATCCTGAACAAAAAGATACTGTCAATCTTTTCTAATTTACAAAAATTAAAACTAAGAGGGTGAGTCAGTGACAGTGGTCACACTAGTCTGTAACCCTGCACTTGGGGGGCCAAGGCAAAAGGATCATAAATTCAAAGCCAGCCTGGACTATATATGAAAAACTTATCTCCAAAGCCACAGTCCAAATCATGTTAAGAAAGCTATAGTTAAATATAATTTATTTTATACTTTTCACTGATTTTCTTATGCAAGCTTTGAAATTTGAGGCTTTAGTAAGAAACCAAATCCCCCCCCCCCATTTTAAATGCTTAAAATCTATTACTCAGAGTGGAATACAGATTTGGGCAAATGTGTTTCTCGTTGAGTGAGACATCATAACAACGTGCAGGGGGTGTTATGGGCAGGAGAGAGACTGTCTGAGACCACGTGTACCCATCATCTATTCACAGCATCCTATGTCTTGCACATAGTTACCGTTTGGGGACTAAGAGGCAATGTCTGTTCAGGACGAGAAAAGCAACCAGAGAATTTCCAAAGCCATGGCTTAGCATCATTATCTTGGTGAAGCCATCTAAGTGTTCTGTTGCAAGAGTTCTCAGTCCCGTTCCCTTCCATCACATCGCCAGACAACGTGGTTCAACATTCTTTCATCTTTCTTTTCTCTCATTCTTCCACCCTGTTAAAAATGAGTTGTCTTAGTTATGGTTTCTACTTCTGCAACAAAACACCATAACAAAAAAGCAAGTTGGGGAGGAAGGGATTTATTTAGCTTACACTTCAACATTGCTGTTCATCACTGAAGGAAGTCAGGACACGAACTTAAACAGGGCAGGATCCTGAAGGCAGGAGCTGATGCAAAGGCCATGGAGGAGAGCCGCTTACTTACTAGCTTGCTTCCCATGGCTTGCTCAGCTCACTGTCTTATAGAATCCAGCACCAGCAGTCCGGGGTGGTACTACCCACCATGGGTTGGGCCCTTCCCCACTGATCATTAATGACTCCCATAGAGTCACTTCCTCAGCTGAGGCCCCTTCCTCTGATACTTTGGCTAGTGTCAAGTTGACACAAAACCAGGCAGTACACAAGTCTTTATACAAGTACCCATTTTATAATATTAAAGTGAGACCACAGCTGTATTCATGGTGCAATGGCTCTCCCATACAGACCTTAATGATCAAAGGCAGTATGGATATATCACAGCTCACTACAGCCTACTAAAATTTGGTAAACTTTGTTGGTTCTAACTATTTATATTTGATGTAGAAAAAAAATATGATCTGAGGCTGGGAGATGGCTGAGAAAAGTATTTGCTACATAAAGATGAGGATCTGAATTCAAATCCCAATCCCACTTTTATAAAAGAAAGGCATGCAACTCTAACCCCAGCACTGAAGAAGCAGAAACAGGCAGATCCCTAGAGTTCAATGGCTACCCTGCCCAGTAAAAGTCAGTCAACTCTAGATTCAATGAGAATACCTCAAACAAGAAGATAGAGAGACCAGTGACAGGGCTAAGAAAAGGTGATTGCCTCTAAGCCTGACAGCCTTAGTTCCACTCCCACATATTAGAAAGAGAACTGGGGGCTGGAGAGACCATTCAGAGGTTATGAGCACCAGCTGCTCTTCCAGAGGATGCAGGTTCAATTCCCCAGCACCCACATGGCAGCTCACAACTGTCTGTAACTTACACAGACATATATGCAGGCAAGACACCAATGCACACAAAATAAAAATAAATACATATTTTTAAAAGGAGAAAGAACCGACACTCACAAGTTATCCTCAGACCTCCACATTTATGCCATGGTACACACACACACACACACACACAAATGTAATTTTTAAAAACCTAAAGAAAGGGGGGCTAGAGAGAAAGCTCAACAGTTAAGAACATTGGCTGTTCTTCTAGAGGTCCTGAGTTCAATTCCCAGCAACCACATGGTGGCTCACAACCATCTATAATGGATTTGATGCCCTGTTCTGGCATGCAGGTGTATCTGAAAATAGGGCACTCATATATGTAAAGTACATAAACAAATCTTTTTAAAAATTAAATAGAAAATGCCGGGCATTGGTGGTGCATGCCTTTAGTCCCAGCACTCCAGAGGCAGAGGCAGGTGGATTTCTGTGAGTTCAAGGCCAGAGCTAGTTCCAGGACAGCCTCCAAAGCCACAGAGAAACCTTGTCTTGAAAAACAAAAACAAACAAAAACAAAAACAAAACAAAACAAAAAATTAAAGAATGATGAGGAAGATGCCCAACACCAACCTGTACACATATGTACATATGTGAACCTGCAAACACACCCACATGAACATGTACATATACCACACAAGCCATTTTTGATCTTCCATTCCTCATATCCCAGTTTTTTTTCTATGTGTGCAAATAAAGGGGCAAGGTGATCCTCATCCTCTTACATGAGTGTATCAGCCAGAGGTCAGCCTTGGGTGTTTCTTCCCATGCTTGAAGGATAGAGCCACATCATGGACTCTGCACATTTCTAGGCCCCTCTTCACCTGGCTGACACCAGGCTCTAAGCAGACATTTCCTGTAGTTTTTCTTTATGACAGTGTTTCTCTGTGTAGTACTGACTGTCCTGAAATTGAGGCTGGCCTCAAACTCAAGAGATTCGCCTGCCTCTGCCTCCCTAGTACTGGGATTAAAGGTGTGAGCCATCACACCTGACCTATAGTTTTTCTTAATTTTCAGATATCTCATCCTAGAAACTCTGCTTAGGAGAACAGAGGAGTTAACAGTAGGGAACAACTTTTCTATGCACCTGATGTGAGCAAAAATAAAAGGGACAAGTTAAATGACCTCTGAGGAAGTTGAATTCTATTCTACCAGAGAAACCATCCAATTGGTTTGTTTATAATGAAAGTGCAGTGTAACAGACTAGATCACCAAACATCCAGCAATTACGAAAGTCACAACTCACAGATGTACTTTACCCCAGCATGACTACACTCTTAGAGTCTTAGTACACAAAAGGCAAAGCCAATGTACACTCACGGGGCAGGGAGGGAGCCAGTAATAGGGAGAATAACAAAACCTTACTTGTAAATCCTCACCACAACAGCCCAACAGTGACCATTTTCAGTGATTACTTTATCAGAGATTTCATCTGTGCATGTAGAAAATAATTTCTTTCAGCTGTATCTCTGATAAGACACTTCTAACAGATTTTACGTCTCCATGACAGAGGGGGAAATGGTTCAAAATGTATGTCAAGTATGGGGAAACTGATCACATAAAGAAGTTAACTATGGTCTGCCAGCCTGCTGCCAGCCTGCTGCCTGTATGCATATGTATGTTTGGTTTTGTCTACCTAGTGTTTCTTGAACAGGATCTGATTCTGTAACCCTGAATACTGGCCTCAAACTTTTAACAATCTTCCTACCTCACCCTCCCAAATGCCAAAACAGGTATAAGCTATGACAACTATACTTAAATGGACTGTGAACTAAGAATATATTTTGCATACTTTTAAATTCCTAAGATAGTGTTCTCTCTCTCTCTCTCTCTCTCTCTCTCTCTCTGTGTGTGTGTGTGTGTGTGTGTGTGTGTGTGTGTGTGTGTGTGTTTGTTTTTCGAGACAGGGGTTCTCTGTGGATTTAGAGGCCGTCCTGGAACTAGCCTGTTGTAGACCAGGCTGTGTCTGCCTCCCAGGTGCTGGGACTAAAGGCATGCACCACCAACGCCTGGCTGAGAAAGTGTTCTTAAACATGAAATTCAAACTTTAGTATCCATAAAGTTTCACTAGGACACTGCTATACTCCTTTATTTAAATATTATCTATGGCTGAGTTGAAGTGTAATTGAGACTCATGTCTTTGCCACATATTTAGCCAGTGTGCTGAAACTATAAAACTTACATTTCTGTTTGTAGGCTGGGGTTTGTATGGAGCTTAATGGTATTTGGAAGGTTCTAGGTTCAATCACAGACAGAAAGAGGGGGAGTGGAAGAGGAAGGGAAACTAGGAAGGAAAAAACATGATCCCTTATCTGTACACTACCTCTATCTGCCATAGCATTATAGCAACCAATTAAAAAATGCATGCACTATCCATTTCCACCACTGTATCTAGTACTCAGCCCAAGGCCTATCCCATGGCAATCACAAAGTAGTTATTGAAGGAATTAACAGAATTAACCTAGTAAACAATTGATAATAATTTGGAGATAAAGTTAATTGCTATCATTGTTTGAATTACATGTTTTTCAGCTGACCCAGTTGTAAAGCTGGGGAACGAGTATTGGACCGAACCCAGTCTTCTGAATGTGGGTGCCAGTTAGGAGGCCTGGGCAGTCTATGAAACCTGACAGTGGAACCAGTATTTATCTCTAGTGCACATATGGATCTTGGGAGCCCATTCCCTATGGAGGGATACTCTCTCAGCCTAGATGCGCTTTAATGCATGATGTGACTTTAACGATGCCCCATGGAAGGCCTCACCCTCCCTGGGGAGTGAATGGGGGGGGTGGGATGGGTGGTCGGTGGGGGGCATGGGAGGATGGGAGGGAGAGGGAACGGGGATTGATATGTAAAATAAGATTATTTCTAAATTAAATAAATAATGTTTACAATGAAAAAAAAAAAGCACGTTTTTACTATTAAATCCAGGTTATGCCAGGTGCTGACGGAAGCGCACTTCTTTAATCCCAGCACTCAGGAGGCAGAGGCAGGCAGATCTCTCTGAGTCCGAGGCCAGCCTAATCTACAGAGTGAGTTCCAGGACAGCCAAGGCTCCACAGAGAAGACCTGTCTGAAAAAACCAAAACCAAACAAACAAACAAAAATCCCAAGTTGTGTATCACCCAACAAACACAAATTCATAAGAACTTGTGATGTTCACAATGTTCATAATTTCAGCATGCTGAGACCAAATCAAAGTCAAACCCTAAAAGTGAATTACCATTTCTAACACTTCACTGAGAAACAATAAACTTAATAAAGTTTCATAACTAGCCTGAGGCCAAAAAGCTTACCAACCTCTTTCTACTACACCAAGATACCATCAAGATTGCTCTAAGAACCAGGAGTAGTGGCACATGCCTGCAATTCCAACACTTGGGAGTCAGACAGGAAGATATCTGCAAGTTGAAGAGAAACCTGGGCTACATAGCAAATTCTAGGCAGCCATACTTACATAATGAGACTTTGTTTAAAAAAAAAAAAAAAAATTCAATATGCATGAGTTGTTGGTATTTTTTTTAACTCTTAATTCTTTGCTCTTTGGGTGTCCACCACCCAACTCCAAAATAAACACATAAAATCTTATTCTTTGTTATGAATGTCTGGCCTTAGCTTGGCTTATTTCTAGCCAGCTTTACTTTGAAATTTTCAGGCTACCTTTTGCCTCTGGGCTTTTACTTTCCCTTATTTCTGAATACTCCTCGAGCCTCTTCCCAGATTTCTTTTTCTATTTATTTTATCTGCCTACCAGCCCCACCTAACCTTTCTTCTGCCTAGCTATTGACCATTCTTCTCTTTATTAGACTAGTCAGGTGTTTTAGACAGGCAAAGTAACACAGCTTCACAGAGTTAAACAAATGCAACATAAAGAATGCAACATATCTTTGCATCATTAAACAAACGTTCCACACCATAAACAAATGTAACCATCTTCAACTAATATTCCACAACATATAAGGACATATAAATATAGGGAAAAACATTAGTGACCTGAATACTAAAATCTTCCATTAGGCATCTGAGCTAGCCAGAGGAAGTTCTGGTGTGAGAGTCTTCCCTTCTACCACTATCTTTGTCTTTGAGCAAATTAGACAATGGCCAAGAATGCAGCCTGTGACATCGCATGCATGCATGTTGGTCGCCAAGGCCACCTTCCTATCTGTGTAGCCGTGGGCACTCATTTTTTTGAACCTAAGGCCCATCTCCTGTGAGTCTGACAATCGTCGCAACCCCCTTTCTTAGAGTTATTTGTGATTTGGTGACAAGAGATACTGAGGATGAATTACTTCTCAAATGGCCTCCCTTGCCACAAAGTCCCATTCCATTTTACAGGGTCTGTATATTTACTTGTTTTCTACCTTTTACTTAAATGGCCTATTTACTTGATGTTATTTTTCTCCCCAATTAGAGTATAATTCCCACGACCGTATTGACTGTACCCCTGAACCTAGGACTCCATTGCGCCTTGCAAATGTCAGTAAATGTGAAGAAAGATCATTTAGCTAAACGTTTCCTTGTATGCAAAACAGGAAGATCCCGGAAAGTCCAAAAGATACTAGTACAACTAAAAAGCTCTTAGTTACACCTAAAAGGTGCTTGGCAAACCCTAAAGGCCAACACGTTTGTGCTAGAATTAATGGGGGGAGTGGCTGAAACTGAAGCTGCATCCAAAGAGACTGCTGAGACAGCTCCGGAGGGCTGCAAAAACAAAACAAAACAAAACAAGCTAAGGGACGCAACTCGACCACTGTCCTTTTTAACTCATCTTCCTAACTTTGCACACCCTGCGAAGGTTGCTGCTGACACCTAAAGGGCCCGGAACGAGCAGGGAGGCAGGCGCCCCAGAAGACACTGGGCTGACAAGTGAGACTGATTTTTTTCGCGCGGTCCCTTTGGCGGGTTCCAGACCCCAGCAGCATCAGTCTGGGGAAAAGGGCGCTGTTCCTGGGCCAGCTGCGCTGCTGGGCAAACAACCCGAGCGCCCAAGTGGAGTCCCGGCACTGACAGATGACTCACCTCAGCTGCCAGCTCCTTCTCGGCTCACATTCCGACCCCGCCGCCTTCCCCCCCACCCCCCAGGCCCTTTGTTTTGATTCCCGACTCCGCAGCTCCCGCCGCCGCCGCCAAGCGCACCCTCCACTTCCGCTTCCGTGCTGCCCCTGTCGCAAAACCCACACGCTTCTCTACTACTAGCCCCGCCCCTTTCTCCGTTCCTCCCCGACTCACCTTTTCCTCCATTTTAGCACACCCTTCCTCTGCACCGCCCCTGTAGCCACGCCCTCTCCCCCGCCCGACCCCTCCCCGGCTCCGCCTAGCCTTGTTCCTTCCTCCTCTAGCCTCGCCCATCACCCCCTCCCGCTCTTCCCATCCTCCGTCTAGCTCCACCCCTTCCCTCGTCTGGCCCAGTCTTTTCTTCCGCCCCGCCCTCGCCTTCACGGCTTCTCCGCGCGGAGCACGATGGGAACTGGGGGGGGCGGGGCCTCGCGGCCCTGCAGCCTCGTCAGGCTCAGTCCCCTCCCGATAAATCTCTAAATAGGGCCTTTCCCCAGGGGTGGCCTCTGGTTTTTTAGCACCAACACCCAGTTTAGGAGTCCTCCACACTGGCTTGATGATGCCAGGTCGAACGGAGCTTCCAGGCGGAGAACTGGGGGACTTGTATGATGGAGGCGAGGAAAAGCCTACCAAATGGGATTTGCTAGGGTCCAGCTCTTAAATTCTTGACGGAGACAAGGATTCTGTGAAATAAAGCGTCGGGGTGGCCTTTTAGCTTTCTTACTCGTGACGTGATAGTCCTATTTTATTTTTACAAATTGTGTATGTTGCCCAGCATTTGTTTTACTGCACCCTAGTGGCGAATGGAGAAAGAACATAACCTGCCTAATGAGCTCCCGCAAGGTCCCTCCTGCCGAGTTTCAGCCCAGCTGGCGCTGGTAAAGTACAAGCAAAGACTGCTGAATATTGTCACCAACAATAAAGAGTACGTGATGACCTGCCCGTTTTTCTTTTCTTTTTGGAGTTAGCATCTCACTTGCGTAGCCCTAGTTGGCCTGAAACTCACCTTTTCGATCTCGGATTCCCTTGCCTTCTCTGCTAGGATTCAAGGCATTTGTCTCATCTGGCAAATTTTTCATTTGAATAAACTCTGTGCTTTGTTTCAAATGAGAACTTTCAGGTGACAGGTTAAGAAGGAAAAAGATGTCAAAGTTATAAAAACTTACCGAAACCAAATTGTGACCTGCCATGTGGATGCTAGAAATTGAATTAGGGTCAAGCTGGAAGAGAACTCAGTGAACTTAACCGCCTAGCCATCTCTCCAGGCCCAATACTTTGTGTTTTAAGTGAATAAACATGTATTTTGCCCCCCCTCCCTCCCTGAGTCTTGAAGTCTTCACTTTTACTTGACCTAAATAAAAGTTGGGGTTTTTGTTATTGTTTGTTATTCGAGACAGGGTTTCTCCATGTAGGACTGACTGTCCTGGAACTCAGTCTGTAGAACAGGGTGGCCTCAAACTCAGAGATCTGCCACCACATGTCACCATGCGTGGTTTAACTACGAGTTTTCAGGACTCAGGGGAAATTTTCTGAAAACACCAGCTGTTTACAATTTCCTGTTGCAAAAATTAAGTTTAAAAACATCTAAATGTAGGGACAGTTTAGAATGTTCTAGCCAAGTAGTTATTTACTTAAGTGTGCTAGGAAGCCAGGTGTGGTGCCACGTGTTTTTAATCCAACACTCTGGAGGCAGAGGCAGGCAGATCTCTATGAGTTCAAAGCCAGGCTCGTCTAAAGAGCAAGTTCCAGGACAGTCAGGGCTGTCACACAGAGAAACCTGCCTTGAAAAACCACTTGCATGTGTGTACAAACGCAACACACACACACAAGTGTGTCAGGAAACAAATGAACTTTGCTAACTATTTAGGAAGCGGAATGGCCAATTATGTGGTGTTTTCACTGCTCTAATTGCATCAAGTGGATGAAGATACATATGTAGCTATCCCTGTAAACCTGGATCGGGAGGACCAGTTCAAAACATGGTTGAAGAATCCTTTGTGTTCCTATTGAATGCTACAGAAGGCACACACAAGGTGTTTGTTATTGCTAAGAACACCACAGTATCGGTGTGTAGGTAGAATTTTCCTTTTCAAAGTCTCAAGTACAGTACTCTTGGTACTCTTTGTAGGTGTTTCTTTTACCTCCATTTTATTCTAGCTGTTTCTGAATACTGACAATATTAACTAAAAATATGAAAAATGGGGGAAGTATTTGTGATGTTTAATTTCTATTTGAACAAGTTTTAGCCACAAAACATAAAAGAGGGAAGACATTTTCCTTTGACTTTGCTTGGCATTTTTTTTTTTTTCTAGTCAATAGGTAGGCTAGGGTCAGCAAGTATTATAATAAATGAACAAAAGCTTAAGAAAATGAGAACCACGAATACTTTTAAAAACAATCAATTTCCTGAGGGGGGGCTCATTCCATTCTGAGTGTCCAAATGGCTTAGAGTCGAGTCCTGAGGGATCTGACACCTTTTCTAGCCTCCCAGGGCACTGTACTCACATACTACATGAGGGAGACCACTACCCACCCCCCAAACTCCACACACAACTTAGGTTCTCTCCAGGACTGGGGATTGGGCACAAACCACACCACACCTGTTTTCACTAATCGATAAGAAAAGTTAAAATGGCTGCTTTCTGACTCAGTCAGAAAAACAGCAGCAAATGACCCTGCAGTTTGGGGAGAATGGCAAGGCCTGCCAGAGTCACATGCTCCAGTGGGCTAGAGTCCCTTCAGTACACACACACACATGCAGGCAAAACACCCATACATCATACATAAATACATTTTTGAAAACCAAACAAAATGTAGGCCAAGGAGAGGGTAGATGGATGAGTGGAAGCACAATTTAACCTTTCTAAAAGAATGTTTCCAGGGCTGGGGCCATGGCTCAGTGCTTAAACTAGTGAATGTGCAAGCCTGACAACCCCAGTTCAGATCTTGAAAACCCATGTGAAACCCCAGAAACAACACGATTGTCTAATCTTAGCTCTCCTACCAGGTGATGGGAGGCGGAAGACAGGGGAAGCCCTTGAAGGCCTAGACTGGCTAACCTGTTGTATCAGAAATGTTGAGACCTTGTTGCAAACAAAATGAAAGTCAAGGACTAACATCTGAGATTGTCTTCCGAACTCCCAGCACCCCCCCCCCCCAGCTTTCAAATTTCTCTTAAGCATTTAGGAGGGCCAGGAAGATCATGTGTTTGAGAGAAGCCTAAGCTACATAGTAAGAGCCTATCTACAACAATAAAGCCAGAAAGAGAGGGGGAAGGAGGAAGGGAAAGAGGGAGAGAGGGAGACAGGAAGAGAGGGAGGGAGAGAGGGAAGGAAGAGAAATTTATTAAGAAAAGATATAATTTCCTAAATACCTTGTTAATTTTATTCTCCCCCCCCACCCCTTACTTATTTTTTGTAAGACAGGGTTTCTCTGTGTAATTCTGGCTGTCCTGGAGCTCACTAATGTAGACCAGTCTGACCTTGAACTCACAGAAATCTGCCTGCTTCTGCCTCCTAAGTACTAGGATAAAGACATGCTCCACCGCTCCTGAATAAAAATAAATAAATAAGAAACTTGCTTTTATGAACTAGTAATAAAATTGAGCCTGGCATGCCTTTAAGGCCAGAACTCAGGAGGTAGAGGCAGACACATCTCTGTCTACAAATCAAGTTCCAAGACAACACAGAGAGATCCTGTCTCAAATTTTTAAAAAGCTTCATTTTTTTTTTCTTTTCTCAATGATAATCTTCATGTTTATGAAACAGAGATAACAGATTTGTTTTTTGTGTTTTAGTAGATACTTTGTGTTTGATTCAGCTCCTCAAAGATCTAAGCTAACCATGAGGATAGGGTCCAAGAAAGATAAGCTGAACATTCTGATTACTCAAGCTGAAAAGCTACAGGAAATTGTATTGAATCCAAAATGTGAGAATAAGACCAGGTACAGTGGCCCGGGCTTTTGATTCCAGCTACTTGAGAGGTAGAGACAAAAAGATTGTAAATTCAAGGTTTGCCTAGGCTACAGGGTGAGTTCAGGTCTAGCCTGGCAACTTAGAAGGACTTTGACTCAATAGAAAAATAAAAATATAGTTGAGTGATAGAGCACTCCCCTAGAGTGGGTAAGAGCTTGATTGGTTTCTTCTTTTTCTTCAAAATATTTTTTATTAATTTATTTTTTTTACATTCCAATCCCAGTTCCCCCTCCCTCCTCTCCTCTCCTCTCCTCTGCTCCCCAGAGAGGGTAAGGCCTCCCCTAGGAAGTCTACTAAGTCTGTCCCATCATCTAGTTGAGGCAGGACCACCCCTGTGAAGGGCTAGATTTCAATTAATGCTATGGGATGGGGAGGAATGGAGTGGGGTGAGGGGTGAGTTGTTTAAAGTTTTAAAGTTTTACCCAATAAACAAACTGTTTCCCAAACCTCTGTTGTTTTTTTTTTTGTTTGTTTGTTTGTTTGTTTTTGTTTTTTTGTTTTTTTGAGACAGGATTTCTCTATGTAGCCTTGACTGTTCTGGAACTCAATCTGTAGACGACCAGGCTGGCCTCAAATGCCTGCTTCTGCCTCCCAAGTGCTGAGATTAAAGGCATGTATCACTACCTCCTGACCCAAATTTCTGGTGTTTGTTTTTTAAGGTTTATTTCTTTATTATGTATACGTTGTTCTGTCTGTATGTGTCCTTGCAGGCCAGAAGAGGGCACCAGATCTCATTACAGGTGGTTGAGAACCACCATGTGGTTGCTGGGAATTGATCTCAGGACCTCTGTAAGAGCAGTTAATGCTCTTAACCCCTGAGCCATCTCTCCAGCCCCAAAGTTATGTTATTAATAAGATATTATTATTTCAGTGCCTTATGTAGAAATTTGAAAATTATCAATCAAGTAGTTAAAATGGGTTTATTGATATCATTTGGGTGGGATCCCTACAGATACATTTCTACTTTACACTTTAGCTTATAAACTGGGTGTTGCTGATTCCCAACCACAATCCTCAGAGTGGTATAAATCATATAAAATTCTGAAGGTAGCAGGAAAAGTCTTTATTTAATGTATTAAAGATGATGGGGGGGGGTCACTGGAGAGATGGCTTAGTGGTTAAGAGCACTGTCTATTCTTCCAGAAGAGCCACCCAGCATCTAGAGGCTCACAACCACCTATAACTCCAGTTTCTGCAGAATATAATGTCCTCCTCTGGCTTCTGCAATCATCAGGCATGCATGTGATATATGTACACACAGACAGCACATCCATATACATAAAGTAAAAATAAATAAACCTGAACACACTTGGGTACTTTCCTCCGTTTGTTTGATATAGGCAGTGGGGTTTTTGTATATGCCTTGATTTCTTTTAAGGAACCTTGGAGGAGTCACAGAAGAAATAGAGCTAGACCACCCTAACAGGAGGCAGGAGGCATTACTTGAGTAGCCCAAGGGCATAACATTTTAAGGGGAAAAAAAAAAAAAAAGTGGATCTGAAGCTCCTTTTGTTATCAAAATACCTTGGGCAACTTGCTAGGTTTCCTGTAGCTTTATTTTCACACCTTTTAAACAACTACAGGAACCTGGGGATATAGCTCAATGGTACAGTGCTTGCCTAACATGGCCAAGGCCCTAGGTTCAAGGCCAGATTAAGATAATTATGCCTTTCTGTTGCTCACCAGTCTCTCAAACAGTAAAATTTGGCATCTGAAATTGTGTATCTCTTTCCTGTGTTAGGCCTTTGAGGTCAGATGTTTTGGTTTATTCACCAGGTTATAAGATTACCTTGTGCCTAATGGTACTCAGTAAATACAATAATAAACAATTAGAGTTGTTTAATGTCAAGAATTAACAGGGCTTAAGATCCCAGAAAAAAAAAAAAAAATAGGGCTGAGGCAAAAAGCTCAGGAATTCGAGGCCAGCCTAGGCTGTATAGAAAAAACAAAAATACAGGGCTGAGATGCGATTCAGTTGGAGGAGCGTTTGTCTAACACGCCTGGAACCTTGCTACCATCCCCACCACCTCATACAATCCTCTGGGTAGCACACATCCATATCCATAATTCGGACTCAGGAAGTGGGACAAGACTACCGAAACTTCAAGATTAGCCATGCAACAAGTTAGAGGCCAGTCTGAACAATATGGGACTGGCTCGAAGAAAACCAGCACCACGATCCACAAAAGAACTTAGTATTGTGCCTGAGTGCATGTCGTTTAACTAATTCATATATTGTAGTTACTATTTACAAAGCACTGCAGAAGCGTTTTACAACGTATTTATTAGTCATAAGCAAAACCCCATTTTATCAACGAGTTATTAAACGACTGTCCCAATATCACACAGCTAACAAGGGGAAAGGGATAGAATTCAAAGACAAGTTCTTCCACACAAAATTATGCTGTTTCAGAAGAAGCTATTGTTAAAGATTCTATTTGGGAATTCTGGGAACAAGGGCCCTGTGCTCTGGACAAAGTTTGTTGTTTCCGATGCCAGTTTTGTCTTAGTGCACAGCATTTCTGGATTTGGGAAGGGAGCTTTCAAGTGTAACCCGATACCAATTAATCTTAAACCTTGGGGTTCTCCGACCAACGGCACCTTTGTCTCTTCTTGGGCAAGAACAAGAACGGATAAATGTGAAGGAGAGGAGTGCGGGTGTTCCTGGGTGCGTGGCATCGCCTGCATGGAGCCTCCTGCAGGCCCTCTACACACCCGCCTTCCGGGCCGCCGGCCCGCGCCTCCCGAGCCCCCTCCCGTCCGGCACCACAGTAGCTTGGCTGCGACGCGCCCGGGCCTGGGGGGGGGAAAAGTTTCCAAACCTCGCTTCTTGGCGCTGATTGGCTGAGACAGATGCGTCCCGAGCGCGGCAGCCAATGGGAGGCTCCGGCTGCAAGGGGTGGACGGAGCTGGGACCCCGGTCAGGCCCTGTTGGCCCGCGCCTTACCGGGATCGTCGCCGCCCGGGCGGGGTAAGTGAAGCCAGATTGCGGGCCGGGGGTCCCCACGCCCACAACACCCAGCGGATGCGTCCCCCAGGCCTACCCCCAGCTTTCCGCCTTCCATCGTGAGTTCCGCCGCTCGCCGTGGCCGACTCTGTTCCTCTTCTGCTGGCCCCTTCTCTTCCTCCAGCCCGGCTCTTAAGCCTGCTCCTTCATCTCACAGTCGCGGTGTCCCCAACTGCTGCCGCACCGGTACCGGCCTGTGTTCCACCTCCCCCACAGTGCCTCTTGGGTCTCGGCCGCCGAACGTTTCAAATTTCCCCAACATCACTTTGGATCAGATAAACTTTATCCGATAAAGGATGAGAGTGCTTACCCCACACTTTGGATGTTGGCCCCGTACATCCTATCTCTGTGAGTTCGAGGGCATCTCGACTCATCTTGGCTCCGGAGCGAATTTATCTTTCCCTAGTCACCTCTGTTTTGTGCCAGGCTGTGCATCCTCCTGCTTTTTAGCTAGAATCTTCCCCAACTTCCCTGATAAAGAAGAAGCCTTTTGCGGCTGGGTGGAGGTTTGTAATTTTCTCTCCCAGCTAGCTGTTTCAGTGTATAGTGTGCTGGGATAACTTCATCGGACTGGAGTGGGTGCTTTTAGAGTACAACCTGACACAAACTACTCCCCAAACCTGAGGTTATCTGACCATGCACCTCTCCCCAACACACTGGTATTCAACTCGTTTTGAGATTTTTTAGTAATTCCTTTTACAGCGTTCCATATGAAGTTAAATACCTGTGGCCAACCAATCCCCTTGAAGTAGCAGGGGCCTCCGGTTTTTATATTTTACCTGGACTTGGATAATAGTTTGCTAACTTGGTTTATTCTGTGAGGATGTTATTTTTGCTTCCAAAGTTTGTTCTACTTTAGACTTTGTAAGCCTGGTGAGATTAAACCCCCATTTCCTTCAGAGTGAATTATCTAGTGTGAGCCACTACAGCCTGCACTGGGGTGCTTGGTATATAGCCCAACTCTTCTTAGTGGGTATTAAATGATTGAAAAGACTTGGAGGGGGCCTAGACCACAATAGGAAGATTCCCTGGCATCTTGATCAGTAGAATAAAATGAACTTTGAACAACAATAGTTACTCTGTTTTGATTCTTACTCAAATATACCACCCCCTTCCCCAATAATGTAAAGTGAACTCAAGGCCTTATGCTACATCCTTAGTCTGCCAAGTGTAACCCTTGAAAATTTCAGATGCAACCATATTTTCTTTCTTTTTTTTTTTCCCCAAAGATTTATTTATTTATTTATTTATTTATTATGTATACAATGTCTGCCTCCATGTGTGCCAGAAGAGGGCACCGGGTCTCATTATAGATGTTTGTGAGCCACCGTGTGGTTGCTGGGAATTGAACTCAGGACCTCTGGAAGAGCAGCCAGTGCTCTTAACCTTTGAGCCATCTCTCCAGCCCGCAACCATATTTTCAATTCAAACAGAATAATAGTTCATTCTAGAACCCAATATGAATGACAGTGGCCCAAGAGAACAGATTCCGGTTTCCTCATACACCCGGCTTCACTGTTGGTTACATGAGTGATGTCTTACTGGTTACAGAATAAAGAAAGTAATAAATTAAGCTGTCTAACCAAATACAGTACTAGGGGCTACAGACAGGTCACAACAGGGAAAACCCTAGTAGAGTTTGGATTAGTGGAAGCTAGAAGTCTTCTCAGAACACATTTTAGGTTTGATTTTACAAGGACCTTAGAGCTGATACTGGGATGGGCAATGAATAGCTCTCAAAGATGCTAGAAATAGCACAAGATGATTTGACTCTGATCTGCAACATAGACTCATTAACATAGATGCAGCCAGCCTGTCTTTTTTCCCTTCCTTTCCTTCCTTCTTCTCTTCCTTTCCTTCCTTCTTCCTTTCCTTCCTTCCTGAAGTTTCAGTTACCAATATATTTATTGTAAATTGTATTTTATTTATTTCTGATTTTTTAGTTTCTTTTACCAAGAAGTCTGTTGTAAAGAAGTGTGTCAGGAACAAGTACTTAGACTCAGTGTCTATTCTACCCCACTTTGGCACTTTCCTCCAGTCCCTTTCTATTCCTGTTGCAGAGAAGGGAACAACAGTTACTGTGACTGCTCTTCTACTGTAGTGCGTTCAGTTCTTATTTACCATCATCATAGTACTCCAATTGTCCTCTGCTGGTAGTTCTTCATGTTAGAGAATGGTAAGGACATGTCCTTGCATGTCTCAGTACTTAAGGAGCCTGCAGACAGAAGCTAGGCTTACTGACTCTTGATGTGTTTCACAACAGTGAGGTCACGTCTGTAAATGCACACCATTTTCCCATCATCATATTGGTTAGGTGTGAATATTTGTTTCTTTCTCTTCCCTCCCTCCCTTTCAGCTTTTTTGTTTGTTTGTTTTGAGACAGGTTTCTCTGTATAGCCTTGACTGTTCTGGAACTTGCAATGTAGACAAGGCTGGCCTCTAACTCAGAGATCTGCCGCCTCTGCCTGCATCCCGAGTGCTGGGATTAAAGTCATGATCACTATCCACTTGCATTTTTGGCCATTTTATACAAGTGCATAATACATTGTGGTCATACTCAGCCCTACACTCTTTTAGATCCCCACCCCTCAAATTCCCAATCCACCTTCACATCTTGTTTTGCATTTGCTTTGTGATATGTGGGTTTAACTAGGGCCAGTGGAGTCTCCCTCCACCTTCTGTTTTGGGGCATGGTCTCTCAGTGAATCTGGAGCTCACTAGTTTGGCTAGACTGACTGACCAGCATGCTCTAAGGATCCTCCTGTTTCTATCACATAACCCTCCATCACTGAGGGTATAACCTAGCTTTTTACATGAGTGTGGCAGGCACTGTGCCCACTGAGCCATCTCAACCAGTCCGTCAGTCCTTGTCTTCTCCCCCACCCCCATCTCACTGTGTTGCCCAGGTTGGTTTCAGATCCCTGACTTGGGCTGCAGCCCTCCTCCTCCTTTCTTGGTCCCCCAAGTGGCACCACTGCACCAGACCCCTGTTGGTTTCTAAGGGTCCCTGGTCTCTGACTTCTTTTTCTGGATCGATGCAGACCCTCGGCCCTCCTCAGCCAGCCACACTTCTGAGTTGAAGAGTCCACCTGTCACTCTTCTCACTGTGGCAGCCAAGCAGCCCTCCCTATCTCCCTGTCTCTTCTTTTTCTCCTGTTTTCCTTCCCTCTTTCCAGCGTCTTTCTCTGTGGCTTAGGTTAGCTTAGGATCTCTATTCCCTGCCTCCACATCCCGAGTGGTGGGGTTTACAGGTCTCTACATACAGTAAATTTGTTTTGTTAATGTATTGAAAAAGTTGCCTGTGACTTAGCCCCTGGCTTTTAGTCTGTGCTGCTCTTTGCCTCCTCTATTGTCAGCCTTCCTGGACTTCCTCAGCTCCCCCACAAGCCTCGCTACTTCTCTCCTGTCCTCTTTTTCCTCCTCCATCTGCTTTTCTATACTGGTTTTCTTTGAGACTGGTCTTGAACTTGCCATCTTCTTGCCTTGGCTTCCTGAGTGTTGGGATGCCAGGAGTACAATGCCAAACACTTTTCCATTTCACATGCTACTCATGGGTCACCTTCCAGGTTGAATTTTGGACTTCCTGAGTTCTTAGATACTGGAGGAATGCATATCACAGTGCAGTTAGTGGCTTCTAAGGGACACGTCCATGTCTATACTCACCAAAGTATGTACTCCACACCTAGGCCTGTGCAGAGTTTATCCTTGTGCTCACCTAGGCCTTTGTAGTAATTTACATCTAATTTCATCTCCTTCTCCCACAAGTCCCCTTGAGAGGAGCAGGAATCTAGAAGATACCTTATTTGGATCTGAGGGTCCTATGCTAAGTACTAAATTCAGGTATAGATGTGTGTGTGTGTGTGTGTGTGTCTGTCTGTCTGTCTGTCTGTGTCTGTGTGTATATGTTGCTAATTAGTTTTAAACTTTTCTCCTAGACACCATGTCACAGGAAGAGTGAGCTCTGGCCCATTTTACCATGGAGGACTTGGGGAAGACTTTTGGATCAGAGGAGGAAGAAGCCAACTATTGGAGAGACCTGGCCATGACCTACAAGCAGAGGTCAGTCCTGCAGTGTCCCTCACTGTTAGCCCCTGGGAGGATGGTGGCTGCCCTGTAGGCAGGCCTATCATGTGATTCCCTGAAGCCAACACTGCTGACCCAGGAAGAAGCTAGAATCACCTGCTCTATAGAGGCTCCTGAGCCTTAGGGAAGGCCTACAGTCTGCCTGAGGCCATACCTGGGAGTGGCCAAGTAGGGATTTGAACTACAAATACCTGAGGCACCTAACCATCCTGCTATCTGATATATTCTGGATTGGTCTTTATCTGTCTCTAGATGTAGGTCTTCTAATGGGGAGAAGATTTACCTGTGCCTATCACAATAGGTTGTTGCTGGAGAGATAATTCAAGGTTAAGAGCACTTGTTGCTCTTGAAGAGGATCCAGGGTTAGTTTCCAGCACCCATGTGGTGCCTCACAACCATCCTTAACTCCAGTTCCAGGGAATCTGATACCTTCTCTGATCTCTTGGGGCACCAGGCATGCAGGCAAAACACTCATACACATGAAATAAAAATGAAAAAAGATAGGTTTATTTTAAAATTTGAAACTGGTATTCCAGGACACATATTTAAGAGGTGTGTGTGTGTGTGTGTGTGTGTGTGTGTGTGTTTTGGGTTCAGCACTATGTACTTCTCAAGCTTCTTGCCTCAGCCTCCTGAATGCTAAGATTACAGTTGTGTGCTTCAGTGCCAGCCCTAACAAACTGTCTTCTTGTCCATAAAATGGGAACAATGGTGGCTAAATAGAGTCATTGTCCACACAGCCCACTGCAGCACAAATACCCACCATCATTAATTCTGTGATAGATTTATTTGCAATCTTGCTACAGGGCAGAGAATACACAGGAAGAACTCCGAGAATTCCAGGAAGGAAGTCGGGAATATGAAGCTGAATTGGAGACTCAGCTGCAGCAAATTGAAACCAGGAACCGGGACCTCCTGTCAGAGAATAACCGCCTTCGAATGGAGTTGGAGACTGTGAAGGTGAGGGGCCAAGGGGACAGGTCTACAGGTAGGGATGGCTCTGTGGCAAGCTGGAGCTGCACAACTGAAGAAGCAGTCTTACAGTGTGTAGTGACTGCACCTAGGACCACTCCCTCTGGCAATCCTGTCAGGTGTTTTTTGCTCCAGTGGGTGGAAATCTATGCAAAGCAATTCACACACTTGGCAACAGCCCTTCTTGGTAGTGGTCTGTACTGGTTTCACAAAGGACATGGTAAAGAGACTACAGTGTCATTGGAATTGCAGATTCTTGAGACTGAGTAGGTAGCCCAGGCTCACTATGACCATATCTGAACTTACTATGTAGCTGAGGATGGACTTGAACTCCTGATCCCCTTGCATTAACCTCCTAAGTGCTAGGATTAAAGGTGAATACCATCACGCCTGGCTTTAGAATGACTGCTTATTATATATTATAAGGTGTAACATGGTATCTCTTAGTGACATGTGGCTACTGAAATGAAAACTAATGAGGGAAAAATTAATTTTACTAACGCTAGCCACAGTTCAGGTGCTTTGTAGCTACATGTGACTCATGGGTTTTACTTCTGGACACAGGGATCACAGAATATCATCTTCTAGAACATTCTATTGGACTATGCTAGTCATAAGCAGGCTTATTAAATAACTTAATATGGTGTAATGTTAAAATCATTGTAATGTTATAATCATTCTATTTTGTGATTATTGTTAACTTTTTTTTTTTTTGAAATAGGGTTTCTCTGTATAGCCCTGGCTGTCCTGGAACTTGCTCTGTAGACCAGGCTGGCCTTGAACTCATAGATCTGCCTGTCTCTGCCTCCCAAGTGCTGGGATTAAAGGGGTGCACCACCACCACCTGGCTATTGATAATTTCTTAGTTTGTAAGCTCAGCTATATCATAGGCTATATCATGAGAATAACAAAGCATGTATAGGGTTTGGTAGTGTCTGAAGTCTTGGAGAATGTAGCAGCATGTCTTGGAATGTGTCCTCTCAGACAAAGAGGAGGCACTCTTTTGCATGAGATTGGACACAGTTGTGAGGGGCCAAGCTTTGCACTGTAAGACAATGAATAGTACTTCTGGCATCCATCTGCCAGAAACAAATAGCACTCTCAACTCCTGATGTTGGGACAGCCAGTCTCTTCTGGGCTGTCGAGATGGCGCAACTGGTAAAGGTGTCTGCCACCAAGCCTGATGCCCTGAGTTTGATTCCTGAGATCCACATAGTGGAGGGAGAAAACTGATGTCTGCAAGTTGCTCTCCAGCCTCTGTATCCACGGGAGTGGGTTTTCTCCTTCTATCTATCATGTGGGTGCCCGGGATTTAGCTCAGGTCATGAAGCTTAGCAGCAGTTGCTATCTTAGCAGCTCGGTTTCAAGGTTTAAAAATAGGCATTTATCCTCTTTGCTCTTTGCTCTTCTCTCTCTCTGCTCTCTTTCTCTCGTCTCTTCTGTTCCTGGTGTCTCTATGTCTCTTTACCTTCCCACTTACTCCCCTTCCTAAATAAACTACTCAAAAACAAACAAACAAACATGTATTTAAGAGGGCTGGAGAGATGGCTCAGAGGTTAAGAGCACTTGTTGCTCTTCCAGAGGTCCAGAGTTCAAATCCCAGCAACCATATGATACTCACAATCATCTGTAATGAGATCTGGTGCCCTCTTTTGTTATGCTGACAGAACACTGTATAGCTTAAAATAAGTAAAAATATATATGTACACATATTTAATATCAAAGACTAATGAAGCTTCTCAGAAATATCAGGATTTCTAACTTTCTCTGAGAGACCTGCATTGTCTATACCAAAGAATAGCGGAATCCATCCTGTCCTGGTCACTGTATCCTGACCAAAGACTATCTTTGTCCTGTGTAGGGTCCAAATTTCTTGTTGACCCTGGAAGTATTTTCATTTGACCCTTGAACAAGGTGATGAGTCTTTTCAATCCTCACATTAAAAAGGCCTCAGGGCTGGAAGATGTGAGAAGGTTTGTGGCATGAGCAATGGCTGTAGGAGCCATAAAAGGCCTTTCATAGGGTACATACATACCTTTAGTGACTGAGTAATTATATGCTTCAAGACTTGTCCTTGAGTTTACAGAAAACCTCTTCATTACAACCTCTGGCCAGAGGCATGAGGCTCAGCAGAGAGACTGAGGGAAAAAATAGCTGTGGAGACAGCCTGCCATTGTAATTGCCGATCAATATCAATCACCTGTGGCAGGTGTGTTCAGTCCCAGATGAAAGCTCATTAAGACAGCAGTTTTCTTGTCCCAAATTCAAACTATCTGAATCTATGCAGGCAGAGGATCTGGGTCTCCACACCTTCCTGGGATCAAGGTTAATGATCTCGTATCCAGTTTCTTTTTGCTTAAGTGCTGTCTGACCCTTGCCAGGAAACCCCAGAAGCCTTAGGATGTTGAAGGCTCCTCTGTGTTGTCATCCTGCAAATCATTTAACAGCCACTTTGGTCATTCCTTTTGGGGGCCCTCATCCCACCTCCCAGGCATGGGCACCATGGCATCATCTCCCAGCACATCTGGCTGTCATAACAGCTTTGTTTCTTGAATCTAGTTAGGAAGAGGAGCTAGCTGTTATTTATTTATTTATTTATTTATTTATTTATTTATTTATTTATTTATTTGAACTTTCATGGAAATTACTTAGTATCCTTGCTTTAATAATACATGCTCTGGCAGCCCTGATGTTGCCTTAGTTGTTTGTTGCAACTCAACCTTGGGCCAGGCAAGTAACTAAATCTTGATTTCCTTATCTCTCAAATGGAATCAGATGAATTAACACATACCAGCCCAAAAGCTGACTTACAATAGGTAGGTACATAAGTTACCTGTTCCAGATGGGCAGCAGCTAACCAATGTGATATCATCTGGACTGTTCCTTGCTCTTGGAAAGCACTGGCCAGTCAAACTGAGCTTCTTTTCCCTTACACTGCTGGGGAATGTCTTGGATCAAAAAGTTAGGATGGCTGTTATACTAAGTATCTGATGTTTCCTTTTTATGGGGTATAGGCAACTAATACCATTCCTGCTCAAGTACAGCGCTCGTGTATGAAGCAGGGCCGTATTGAGTTGTAGCTGAGACCTGGGTGAGTGCATGTGGCTTCCTTTGGCTATGGACACCTTGAATGAAGGTTGTTGGGCAGTGAAGGGACCAGGTGAGAGAGGATAGGATGGTAGGTGCTGAGAGGATTAGCAGACACGTGATTGAGAAAGTCATGCATACTTTGAACAACTGTCACTTACCCCCAGCATCTTCTGTCGTCCTACCCAGTTTTGTGTCAACTTTATACAAGTTGGAATCATCTGAAAGGAGGGAACCTCAATTGAGAAAATGTCACCATAAGATCTGACTGTAAGGCATTTTTTAAATTAGTGATTGATGGAGGAAGGCCCAGCCCATTGTGGGTGGTGCCATCCCTGGGCTGGATCTAGGTGCTAGAAAAACATAGACTGAGCAAGCCAGTAAGCAGCAGTCCTCTGTGGCATCTGATCAGCTTCTGCCTCCAGGTTCCTACCCTGCTTGAGTTCCTGTCCTGACTTCTTTTGATGAACAATGATATGGAGGTGTAGGCCAAATAAACCCTTTTCTCTCCAAGTTGCTTTGGCCATGGTGTTTCATCACAGCAGTAGTAACTCTAACCAGTACAACTGCTTCTCACCTGAATTGTCATGTCTGGAGAGAAGATTCTGTTTACTGAGCCTAGGAGAGGCTGGGAGAGGAGGCCTGGAGCTGCCTCACAGGAAAAGTTAGAAGGGATAACTCAGGAACCTAAAAATGAAGGGAGAGACATTCCTTAGGATATTGGGGTCATGTTGAGACTGTGACTCAGTTGGAGACTGAGAATGCTCACCTAGCACGCATGATACTCTGGGTAATTAGAAGCTCATGCCTGTAGTCCTAGCACTTTGGAGGAGGAGGCAGGATGATCAGTTCAAGATCATCCTTTGCTTCTTTCGTATACAGCTAGTATGAGGCCAGTCTGGGATACAGGAGATACTCTCAAGAAAAGAAGATGGGATACTGTGGCTGGGGTGGAAGGGGGAAGAATTTACATTCAGTGCCTAAAGCCATCATATGTCTTCTACAGGTAGATGGCACCATCCATGAGTGACGTCTCATATTTCATGTAGTGGTAATGGGGTGTAAGGAGTACGGTTTTTCCGCCCGCCGCCTGGTTTTGTCCCGCCGCCACGCTGCCAGCCCCAAATAATGTACAGAGACTCTGTATTTGATACAATGCTATTGGCCAGGTGCTAGTTTCTAATCGGCTAGCTCTGTCTTAATTATTAACCCATTTCTATGTATTTCCACCTGGTCTTACCAGGGAGAGGCGGCTGGCAGCTATTCCTTCTCCAGACTCTCCATCTTGGCTCCTCCTTCCTCCTATCTTCCTTTCCTATTGGCCAACAGTGCTTTATTCATTAACCAGTATGAGAAACATATATACATAATGACATCTCCCATCAATGGGGTGTGAACTTGGATTGTCAAAGTCTTCAGTTGCTGACCTGGCCTCTGTTCTGTCCTCCAGGAGAAGTTTGAAATGCAGCATTCAGAAGGCTACCGGCAGATCTCAGCCTTGGAAGATGATCTGGCTCAGACAAAAGCCATTAAAGATCAACTGCAGAAATACATCCGTGAATTGGAACAAGCCAATGATGACCTGGAGAGAGCCAAACGGTAGGTGGGGCAAGGAAAGGTTTGTGAGGCAACAAATACGGAATTGAGTGCGAAGAACTTGGTGCTAAGCAAAACAAAGCCCTGTTGGCTCGTGGGCAAGATGGAACATGATTGGTGTTCTTCCTGTCTTTCTGAGGATGTGAGTTTCTGTCTGGTCTCCTCTTCCTCCAGTTTGAAAGATTACCCTCAGGATTTATTATAGGGTAGGGCTGCTTACGACAGACTTGTATTTCTCTGAAAACGTCTTTACTTTGTCTCCATTTGTGTGTGTGTGTGTGTGTGTGTGTGTGTGTGTAGTGTAGTGTAGTGTAGTGTAAATACCCATAAGCATTCATGTCAGAGGACAACCTGGATGGAATATTCCAGGCACTAACCTTCCATCTTAGACTCAGGGTCTCTCTTTTTGTTTTAGCCTGTGTATGTCAGCCTAGCTAATGTGAGCTTTCAGAGATGTTCCTGCCTTCTGTCATCATCCACCATCTTGATGTAGGCGAGTTGAGATTGCAGACACTCCCACTGACAGATCTGGAGATTAGAACTGCTGTCTTCACACTTGTGAGGCACTCTCATCCAAGTGTTGACAAGTTTCCACTATGCCTACAGATAACTGTTTCTCACACTTATTTATGTTTATCTATTTATGTATCTACCTGTAGCCCTGGCTGTCCAGGAACTCATTCTGTAGACCAGGCTGTCCTGGAACACACAGAGATCCTCCTGCTTCTGCCTCCCAAGTGCTCAGATTAAAGGTGTGCACCACCTTACTGCTTTTCACTTTTATTATGTTTACTTATCCTTATCATTAGAATATGAAGCCAGTCCAGTTTTATTTTCTTCAGGTGGATACACACTGTTTATTTGACCTTTCTTCATTTCCCCTAGGGTATTGAACTCAGTTCCATTGCATGTTAATTTTTCATTTATCCTGGCATCTATGTTTTGATGTATATTTGACCCAGTCTCTGGTTTGTGGTATGTGACCTGTACAGTTTTATGTCAACTTGACATAAGCCAGAGTTATTTGAGAAGAGGGAACCTCAGTTAAGAAAATGTCACCACAAGGGCTATAGGCAGGCAAGTCAGCAGGGCATTTTCTTAATTAGTGATTAATGGGGGAGGGCCCAGCCCACTGTGGGTGGTTCCTTCCATCCCTCACCTGTTGGGCCTAGGTCCTAGAAGAAAGCAGGTTGAGCAAGCAGTGGGGGAGCCAGTAAGTAGCACTCCTCCATGGCTCTGCATCAGCTCCTGCCTACAGGATCCTGCCCTGCCTGAGTTCCTGCCCCAGTTTTCTTCAGGGATCAACAGTGAGTGATGTGGAAATGTAAGCCAAATAAACCCTTCCTCCCCAAGTTGTTTTTTTTTTTATCATGGTGCTAATTAATAATAGTAACTTTAATTTAGACAGTATGTGAAGCCAGCCACTGTCATTTCCACACATGTATCTTTGATCAAAAGCAAATCACATGATCACGCTGAGTCAGGATGAGAGAGTGTATTCCACCCACAGTGAGGCTCCAGCAAGGCTGTGGGTGCCCGGACAGATGAAGAATTGGGACCAGTAATGCAGTTTTGATGCTGGGAAGTGGTAGCACACACCTTTGATCCCAGCGCTCTGGAGGCAGAGGCAGGTGGCTCTCTGAGTTTGAGACCAGCCTGACTTACACTAGTTGCAGGACAGCCAGGGTTACACAGTGTAGGCGGAGTTTTCCTCTGCCCACAGCCACTCCCAAATAATCACTCAGAAACTTAATATTGATTGTAAATGCTCAGTTGGTAGCTCAGGCTTGTTATGCTCTTAAATTTTATGAGCTAACTCTTAAATTTTAAATTAACCCATATTTCTTTTCTACCCTCTGCCACTTGGTGGTACCTTTATTAGCATCCTGCTCCCTCTGTGTTTGGCTGGAGATCCCTCTGACTCTGCTCTTTTTCTTCCCAGCATTCTCTCTGTGTCAGGCTATCTCACCCAATTTCTTCCTGCCCAACTTCCTTTACACTGTTTGAATAGATGTTGCTATGATTAACTTCATAAACAAGCTGACTGGTCAATAGCTGAACAGGTTAGGCAGAAGAGCCAAATTAAGAATGCTGGGAAGGGTGGAGTCTGGAGTCAGCAGAAGAGAGAAGCAGGATGAGCTTGCTGTACTGAGAAAAGGTACCAAGCCACATGGCAAAGCATAGAAAAGAAATACAGGTTAATTTAAAATGTAAGTGTCAGCTAGTAACATGCCTGAGCTATTAGCTGAGTATTTATAATTAATATTAAGACTTCATGTCAGTTACTTGGGAACTGGTAGGTGGGAAAGAAACACCCACCTACAACACAAAGAAGCCCTATCTTGAATAATCAACCAACCAATCAATAAATAATACAGTTTCCCACAAGAAGTTAGTACACTCACACATTTCAAAACTAATATAGAAGGGTGTAGAGGATCTCCCCAAGATTTATTCTTACTATTTTTACTTATATGTATGTGTAAATGCACCTGTATGTGGGCACCTGCAAAACCAGAAGATGATTCAGATGCCCTGGAGCTGGAGGTCACAAAAGAGAATGAGTTGTCTGATATGGGTGCTGGGAACCACCAGCCCAGTTCATTCTCCTTCCTTCCCTCCTTCCTCCCTTCTTCTTCTTTTTTTCTTCCTTCCTTCCTTCCTTTCTTCCTTTCTTTCTTTCTCCCCCACCCCTTCTTTCTTGTTTTTTAAGACAGAGTTTCTCTGCCTCAGCCTTCCGGGTGCTAGCATTAAAGGTGTGTGTCACCATGCCTGGCTTGTTTCTTTGAATTTTCTAAAGGTTTTAAATTTTTATGTGCACAATGTTACATTGCCTATAGAGGCTAGAACAGAGCATTGATCTCCTAAAACTGGAGTTGTAAGCACTCAAGTGGGTGCTGGGAATTGAACCCTGATCTTTTGGAAGAGCAGTGAGTGCTATTAAACACTGAGCTACCTCTACAGACCCTTTTAAAAAGATTTTAATTGTATCTGTGTATAGATATGTATATGTAGGTATCAATGGATGGCAAAGGTGTGGACTCCCTGGAGTGGGAGTTACAGGCATTTAAGAGCCACCTGACATGGGTGCTGGAATTGAATGGGGATCCTCCACAAGAGCAGCACAGTAGGTACTCTTAACTGCTGAGCTATCTCTAGTCCCAGAGGTTTTGTTTTTTTTTTTTTTAATGGAAATTAAAACAAATGAAAATCAAAACTGTTCAGCACTCTGTCTTGAAAGTAGGAGGGACTCATGAGACCCCCATATCTTCCCAAGGATTGACAGATCGTTAATGGTTACAGCTAAGACTTTTCCTTCAGTAGTGTAGCGTTCTACAGTGTCCATATCCCTGGAAGCAGCCGCGTTGGCTCATTGGGTTATACACGCTAAAGACATAAAAACAAAGGAAATAACACAGGAGGGCGTGGGTGGCAAAAGAGGGTAACAAGTGGTCATGGTAAACATGATCAAAATGATGTTCATGTATAAAAATGTCATAAAGAAACCTTTAAGTGTAATTAATATATGCTGATAGAATTAAACAAAAGGCATTGCTACTCCTCCACCTCTGGTCCCCCATAATAGAGCCCTTTGTACTCAGAGTTGTACATCTTGCTTTTTCATTTAACAATGGATGCTGGAGATATCTGTCTGTTGAGAACACAGAACACCCTTGTTTATCTACTGAGTGGTTGACACTGGCTGATACCATGCTGACTGACTTACTGGGTTTGTGGGGCTGAATGTCTTGCTGCCTCCTAGTTGCTTTACTGATGTATGTCTGTGACGAGTAGTCTCCTATAGTGTGCACCTGTGCAGTATGGTCCCATAAGTGGAATGGCCCTGCTTGAGGACACTCATCTATGTGACTTGGATAGGACAGTTTATATTCCCAATGGCTCTGTTCCAAGTCCTCATTTTCCAATTTGCCTCCTTAACACAGTGGTTTTTAAACTTAGGGTTTCTGCCAGTCAAATAGATGAGAAATGGGTTCACCTCAGCTTTGAATTCTAAAAGACCTGTAGCTATGGTATTCATTTTCTATGAGCTACATTTTCACTTTGGCTCCCAGTTCAGTATTTGGAATCAAATTCAGAGTCATCTACATACTGGACAAGTGTTCTACCATTGAGCTACATCTCTCACACTGGTTTATATGTTTTTTATTTTGTTCTTTTGAGACAGGGTTTCTCTGTATAATGTTTACACATTTTCAAGCTGGGGTTTTGGGAAGAGTGAAAGGGGTCTTCTAAAAGTTTAGACAGTTTCATGTAGCCTAGACTGGCCTTGTACTCACCCTGTCGACAAGGATAACCTTTACTCCTGATCCTCCTGCCTCTATCTCTTAAGTGTTAGAATTAAAAATGTGTCACCCTACCCACAACATCGAAACTGGATTTGTGTGGGTATTTTCATTGTTTCATGTGTGTCTGTGACATGAGCCCAAAGTATCTGGAGGTGTTTGGGTTTTGTCTAATGTATGCTTTAGTTAGTTTGCATGGGTTGACTTCTGTGTATTCAAGACAGTTAGGAGAGCCTTTTGTTATCCAGTCTTTTAAAACATTTGGCTTGAACCAGGCATGGTAGACCACCTTTGATCCCAGCACTGGCGAGGCAGAGGAAGGCGAACAAACAAATAAGGCTTCTATTTTGAGTTTGGGAGGGCCAGGGGAATGACACAGTGTTTCTTTATTTACTCCAGGCTAGCCTTGAATTTGTAATCTTTTTATGTTATCCTCCCATGTTACAAGCAGTTTTTCTGCCAGCCTGGTCTCACAGCCCCAAATAACACACAGAGATGCTGTATTTGATATAAAGCTGTAGGCCAGTTACTAGTTTCTTAACGGCTAGCTCTGTCTTAAATATTAACCCATTTCTATTAATCTAAGCATTACCACGTGGTATCATCTTCCTGGAGAGAGGGGCCGGCATTCTGCTCTCCCCTTGAATCTCCTCCCTACCACTTCTCAAATCCTCCTTGTCTCCTAGTCCCACCTATTTT